CCTCCTTTGGCTTTGTATTGCTGATATCACTTGGTGCAGCTGATAAACCTGTAGACTCTTCATTGCTCTCGTGCTTTTGAAGCTCAGTTTGTTCCCAAGAAGCAACACCTGATGAGGGCAGAAGGACAGAAGTACAGCGTTCTGAGCCTGTAGAGGTACCCAAATGAGTGGGAAGGTCCCTTACTGACACTGTGCTTCAGCATCGTTAATCCGTGCACAGTTTGTAGCTCAATGCAGTTCAGGTACTGAACACAGATAAAATGAATGTATCTGGTGGAGCAGATCAGATGAGATCTCTATCTGTGACAAGCAGTCACCTTGTTTATGACTTTTAATATGACTTTTGCTCTATTTTCCCCCTACCCTGGATTTTACTCAGGTGTAGATTTGCTAATGCCACCTTGTGCTTTAAAAGTTGCCATGGATGAAGGTGGGTAGATGAGGCACTTCAGGCTTGTGGAATAAGCACATTAGCTTAATGCTGAAACACCTGGCAGTGTCAGCACTGGCATTAAGTGTCCACCTTTAGTTTCCAGAATTAATCCCTCATAGAGGGAGGAGGCTGCTTTTCTACCTTTTAGAGCGCTTTTCTTAAAGATGTGCAATGTTGTAGTTGTGCTACAAAACTGCCACCAGGATCAACTGGTTCAGGTGAGTTTGTTCTTGACACATCCCAGCTGCAAGCAGAGACAAGGATATCCCATGTTGAGCACAGCTGTCCCAGAGGCATCAGTGCCTTCCCTGTGCTTGCAGTCACCCAGCCAGGAAGCTTGGAAACCAGTATTCAAAACCAGGAAAAGAAACAAAGAAAGAAAAGCCCCGACAGCCTTGTTCTGGGAAACACGGTGGCAAACCTCACAGCTTCACAGCTGCTTTATTCTGTGACACAAAGGGTCGCATCTGCCTGCTCACATGGGAAAGTTTGTGCAGAAGGATAGCAGAGTATAAACTTGAGCATTCATCACAAACACCCATAGCACTGCTCCCAAGTCAACTTCACACATACTGAGAAATGTGGATCTTCTCTTGTAGATCTTCTCTTAGATTGCACTTCCCCTCCTGGGAGTGCAGGAGTTACATTTTTTATTCTTTTTCCATCTCTTATTTAACGTCCACTTCTAATACGCTACTTCCTGAAGTCTAAGCATCCCTAATCCCTTTCCTGTTCTCCAATCTACAGTCAATTTAAAAAAAGAATCAGAAGCACTGAGAGATATAAATGTAACTGTGGCTTGACCTAGTCCATGAATGTTTGCTTCAGGTTTAAAGCTGGTGATTATGACAAAAATCTTGCTATCTGGGCCAGGAGCCTCTGGTGAAAATCCAATAGTAAACATGCCACGTGAGTCAAGCATTTGGCATCTGCAAACAGGTGCCATCTGTTTCTTCTTTTAAGAGTATTAGCCATCTAAGAAAGGAAAATAGATTCATGAAATCTGGTCTGAGGTCAAAAGAGTGTGAGCAAGATCAGGGTTTTGGTTGCCAAGTAAAATGGTGTGTAGATTCACACACACGCACACCCCCCCCACACACACAACTTTGCTTTGCAAGCAGAGGGGAGGCACTTGCAATAGACACAAAGTCATACCATCCAGGTTTGGGGCAGTCTGGGTGCAGAGGCAGTGATACAGCCCAAGCTTCTTCTTCAGGCTAGACCAAAGCCTTTTCTAAATGAAGAACCTAGTAACCTCAGAAGCCAAAAATTTTTACTCAACCTTCTGCAATTCTACTTCTGCTCCCACCCCCAACCACTCATCTCTGGGCAAGGAACAGCTCATTGCTTCTCTTTTCATGACCCATTTTGCTCCCATAGTTCCTAGTAAAGCCAGTTTGTCTCCTTGGTCAGCAGGTGATGGAGTTGGTGTGCTCACCTCTCGCCTTTCCCACCTCCTGGCTTTGCTTCAGGCCCCGAGGTCGCCACGGGAGCCCCAGCACTGCTTGGCTCCCCTGCAATCCCACCTGGCTCTGGTTTACTGAGGATTTGGGACTACCTTCCCCGTCTCTGTTCTTAAGTGTTACAAACCTGAACTTTTCACAGTTTAACAAAAACACGTTAGAATTTAAAGGCTTTACATCACTTAGTACTGGAGGGCTCAATAGCTGTAAGGAAGGGATTTGTCTTTGGACCCCACATCCAGTTTTGGATCTGAACTTTTATTATTATCTATGTAATTCAGTGGTACTTTGAATAATAAAACATTTCTGTTTTGCAATTTATGATTAATTGGGCATGTCATTAATCATTCACCTTACTTATGATACTTAAAGGTTGGATATAAAAATAGACCAGTTCTTATTCGTTGAAGGGATAGCAGGGAAAATGCAAATGGTTAGAAGTAGTAGGGCTTATAGAAATTTAAATAGTTCCTTGCATGATTTTTCTTTTGAGTGATTTAATCCCAAGGCAGAAGAACTGAGATTCATGGCCACAACCTGTTCATGCAAACTGCGGTAAATAGTGCTGGCTTATCTGACATGAGGAATGGTATAATAATGTGACTCTCCATTAAAAAAAAAAAAAAATTTCTTTTTAATGGGGTCCAAAGGTTAGGATATAAGGCGAGTAACTAATGAAGCCTACACACTGCTGAAAGTCATGTTTCGTTTCACCACCAGATCAAAGAATAATGTAAATTGTCATGTTAAACAGGATAGAGAGCTTTGCTGAAGAGAGAATTACCTTGGCCCCACTGCATGCAGTAATGATACAGTACAAGAAGAAACACAGGATTATAAAAGAGCAGACTCCATGAGCTCCGATTTTAGACTGCAGGAGCAGAATCGGAACCTCCCATTAAAACAGGAACGTGGGACTTTTTTTTAAAGCTCCATGCAAGTCACACATTGTATGTAGCATTCGCATATTCATTAAGCACAATGAGCAATTACAGATTAAAAGCTGCTGGTGTCTCACTTCAACCAGGCAAATGCTTTCAGGAGAGAAGAGGGAATGGATTTTGATAATAAGAGGTTTTCAGTCTGCAAGTTTAAATGGAAAGAGGGAACTCTACCATGTCGACAATAATGGTACATCTGCAGGTCCCCTGCAAAGCCTCTACACTTACAACAGACCACATCTCCTAAAGCAACTGTGTCAATGGCAGCTATTTTGCACAGTCCTTATTTCTCTGAATCAGATGACAACTGTGGGCAGGACCATGAGTACCCTGATCTGTGAAATAATAGAGCTCTCTGTCACCGATGATATTAGTTTGACTCCTGCTGTTGCTGTTTTTTATTCCCCTTTTGCAGGGTAAGGGATATTCTGCCACCAGTTGCATTGCATGCTGTTCGTCTCTGCGTGGCTGAAGCAATTTAGACCAGGAGGTAGTGACTTGGCCTGAAGACTCACTGGCAAGACCCACCTCCTGCCTATCCACAGTGGCTTATTTGTCCAGGTTAGCCTGGAACTTATTCTCAAAACAACTGTGGCTCAGAGAATATCTGAAAGATCTGGGAAGGAGAAGTATTAAAAAAATATATTTATTTATTTATTTTTCTGCTAAACGGGACCAGGAAAGTCTTTTAGGGGGAGATTTGGTGCCAAGAAGCCTTGTTAATGCTTTATTAATTTTCTCAGGTACTCCTGGCAAGGCCACATTCTACTTACGCATTAAAGTCCCATTATGTATACAACAACAATGCAAATAATCAGAGCTGCATCAGGGATGACTCATAGTTCTATTATTTTGTGAGCATCGTGACAGCTCTACATGCAAATTGTTACCATCAGCCTCATATTTGAGTTTGTGTGTGGCTCATGCAGAGCTGTGGACACAGACCCAGACCCGTGATACACGGGTGTGGGTGCAGCTGAAATGGTCACTCATACTGAGAATTTTGCTATCTGCCTGAGAATCGTTTTACCCTCAAATAAAAAAATGCCAGAGCCAGAGCTGGTAAAAAGTGGTGTTGCACCTTTGCATTTGGATTGTGAAGGGCTGGATTTAACTGTTTACGTGAGGTTTTTCCTTACGCCTGACCTGCTTTTGTCCAGCAGCCGGGAGGGTGTTGCTGTTGAGGGCTCTGCCCTGAGCCTGCCAAGCTGCCATCTGCCAGAGAGTCTAAAGCACTAACCCAAATCCAGCTGATGGTCTCATGGATAAGATCCAAAGCTCTTTACAGCGCACAGTCAGTGCTCTGAATATGTGCACACAAATATTTATGGATATCCTGGATGGATATGGATTTCTAGCTCATCCAGGACATCCACAAATATTTGCATGCACGTATTCAGAGCATGTAAATATTTATGGATAGCTTGGATAAGCTAGAAACCCTGGAGGCTGAGGGGACTGTAAATCCCCTCTGTCTACCTTCCACAAGCACCAGTGAGCACAGTAATTACCCCATGGCATGTGAGGGAGAAGAGACAGCTCATCCCTCAGTGCCAATGCTCCACACCCAAACTGGCCACGGCGGGGCAGGGGATGGAGGTGCCACCCACCAAAAGGCAGGAGAGGGCTGCTGTCACTGCAGACAAGAAGGAGCCCTGTGCTGCCGAAGTTCATGATGTGCCAACTCTTGCAATGACATACATCGATTTGTTTCTAGCAGATGATACCAATAACGTATCTTCACAGCAAAACCATGGAGCTGTTTCCCTGCCTGCCCTTTTTCTATGATATTTGTTCAGGGCAGCTATTGCTTCCTACTGTGAACTTTTTCACAACTTTGGCTGAAATGAGTCTTGCTCTTACCGTGGCCTCTTGCCAAATCTGCACGGGTGCCGGGCTGTCTGAAGGCAGTGTGTCCCTCTCCAGACAAGGCTACACAAACAGCAAAGCAGTTTGGATCTCCCCGCATCTCCAGGGCTGTAGCCCATCTCCAACCACAATGAGGAAGCCTAACGGTGTAGGATTTCTTGGAAAGGATTTTTAAAATACAGCTTTCTACACTGTCTTTCTTGACCTGTTGGTTAATTGTATTGACTTACTCACCTTTTGCCTTGCTGAGCCACAGTTCTTAATGTTTTGCTGTCAGGGATCCCTAGTCAGAAGGGCAGTGATCTGCCAGCTCTGATGTAAGATGAGTGACACCTCCTGCGTGGGGGCTGTTGATCTTCTCTAATTGCTGCTGCGTCAGCAGTCACATTAGGCTGTCTGAGATGACGGGATGATTCTTTGTAATCCCTGCAAATTCCCCCCTCATCTGAGTCCTTTGCGTTCATGGTTTGGATTTACCGACCTTCTGTGAAGAGCTTTCAGGGGATAAAAGTGGCATTAATTGTTGAGGGTTCCAGACCTCAGTGAAGGCATCACCTGCCTATGATCTCTAAGAATCCAGTTTAGCAAGAGCCGTACTGTTCAGAGCTGTTAGACTGTCTGCTGGCACTCAAGATTACAGATTGTCAAGGGGCTCACTGGTAGGAGGTTATGCATTAGAGGAAAACTAGAAGAGAGAGTTATTCCGGAATACAGATTTCTTCCAAACTCTTCTGAATCGTGCTGAAATGGAGGGACCCGCCTCAGTGATGTGCCTGAGAACTTGCTATATAAAAGACTGTAAACCACTCCGTTTTGCTGAAAATCCATCTGAGCTGGGACAAGCCAATCTCTCCAGGAACTACAGTTGCTCTCATAGGACAATGAAACAAAGGCGGTCAAACAGTATTACCATGTGCACCTTGCCCATCATCCCAGAATATCCAGGCTTTCAGGACATTAAGGTTTGTATGCAAAAACATTCTTTGCAATGTGTGATAACTACTACCTATTCTTCTGTAATTCCCTTACTTCCTCCTAAGCTGATATTTGATATGATGGTAAATTTCGGGCTGTGTTTTGCTGTAGAAAAGCTTAACTTGAAAGACTTATTTTTGACACATTATTAAGTTGTTTATTAATTTTAAAGTTGATTACTAATTTTCAAACCATTTTTTAGGGTTTGAGGTAGGAGGGAGAGACTATTTTTTAGTCAGGTTTTAGTGTTCTTCAATTACCTAACTTATTCCAAAAGTACAACCACTCTAGGCAGGGTCATTAGATTTTTTGAGTCCCTTCCAGAGTGAAGTGTGATGGAACAGTGAGAGATCAAAAACTTGATTACTTTTCAGTTTACATGGCATGTTCAACCCCCTATTTCTCATTTGCGCTCAATGTTTTTCATTCACTACCACTAGGCAACATGCCAAATGCTGATGATGGAGTGCCCTACTGAGACATTTCTGGGCTCTGAAACCAGATTTGTGGCTGGACCCTTAGCAAGTATCTAGACATAATTAGCAATTGTCAAAAAGGGCATGAATGATGGCTTTTTCTTATACCAAAGGCATTGTCAGGCATAATAAATGATTGCAAAATGTTCCATGATCCTGCTGTGGCTGTCATCTACATACAGTATAGTATTTCTTTTTATTGATTTGAAACAGTAATATAATATAAAACATTTCTTCCTTCAACTGCTGAAGTTTCTCAGAAAAAAACCCCACGGTCCAGTCTAACTTGGTGTACAGAAACCAACTGTTGCTCCTGGTCGCCTGAGACAGACTGGGGTGTCTTGGAATAGCTGTGAGAAAGGTTGAAATGACAGAGCAGTAACTTTCAAAACCCAGGAGACACTTAACTCTGGACATGGAAGGGCAATCTTTTGCATGGTGAATTTCTAGCAAACTTGTTTGGCACTCATTGACTTCTTTCATAGACAATAAAAGGACTCGCAGCACGGGTGTTCCCCTGAAATCAACATAAAGACACCCACTGGTGTCCGTGGGGTCCATGGCCTTTGTTTGACTATTCAAGTAACTCAGGTATTAAATTGATTGGTTAGCAAAGAACTAGGCATCCTATGATGAGAAAGGAAGAGAAAGCTCCATGCACAGCTACGATATGCTTTGGGGTAATAATAATAATAATTATAATAATGATAATGATGATGGTAATAATAATAATAATAATAACAATAATAATAATATAACAACAACAACAATAATAATAAACCCAACTTCATAGTTTTAAGATGTAGAAATTTATTTTTTGTGAAAAGTGCAATACACTGCAATTCAGAGCAGTGTTACCTGGGAGTAAGGAAAGGGGAAAAAAGGAACAACATTTCTTACAAATGGGATCTGGTTTTACCATGGGAAACAGCAGCAGCTACAGGCAAATGAGCTTTGAAAATGATAAACCTGGAGTTCTGTTAATATAGGCAGGTGAGAGATTCTTTCAGAAAATTAGATTTTCAGAGAGGCTACATGGAATTGTAGCAGTACATGAAGGTCAGTGGGAAGTACATATGCTGAGCATTGTTTAACCTCAGCCCAATGGGCTTCTCTTCCAGAGAGGGATTGGTATCAAACTCTTCAGTGGATTTGGATTAAGAACCTAAACCCTTCCCCAACAGCTGTTTACTGTATGGAGACATATACTTAAGATCCTTTTGCTGCTTGAGACAGCATATTTTAATACAGATTTCCTTTTCCCTTCTGTCCCCAATCCTGCTTCTCCTTCTCCCCCTATTTTAAATAGTTATCAAGGAATTATTCAGAAACTCCAGCCTTCAACCGACTTTTCCAGGATTTGGAAAGAGGAAAGAGTTCCTCATCGCAGTTGAATAATTTTCCCAACAGAGCTTCTTTAGTCCATTGTCTGGAGGGCTCTTCAAGAGGCTACTTGAAAGGCCACCCAACAACCAGCAGTGGCTTCCATGATAAACCATTGCAAGAGTATTTCAATGAGAGGCTAATGGAGCTCAGGAACTATGGAAGTAAGAGGTCTAATAGGAAGACAAATGGGTTTGCTGATAAGAACCAGAACCCCTTCCTCACCCGCAGAGCATCTCGGCGCAGAAGCAGTTGCAGTGCTGTGGTAATGCTTGGGCATGGCAAGGAGGGCGGAGAGCCCTGCAGCTCAGCACATCAAGACAACAAAAAAGCGATCGAGTGTAACGATCAAGAGGAAACCCAGGACGTCCTGGACCTCTACAAGGGTGACTCCTTGGACATTTTGACAATGCACATTGCTGCTCCCCTAGAAGCATTTGTGCAAGAAAAATGATACTGGAGCTGGTGACAACTTTTCATGCGGTCCTGAAAACCAGGAAGAATTGTTCCTGTTCAGCACCATTCTGACTTACGTAGTTTATGTATGTCAGTCCACTCTGACACAGAAATGTGCTTGTTTGTGGGAGAAAACAGTCTCTCATTTTGTGTTCTTGATTAACATTGCATATATTTATTTTCATTTATTTTTCTCAAAAAATCAGTATAATTGAAACGCAGTTGTTACTTATTATATACAGTGAGCAGTGCTCTAAATACATGCAATTATTTGAATTCTTAAATTGCCTTAAAAAAAGGTGATTAGTGTCAGAGGACCAGCTTGGTTTCCTACCGTGCAGTTTGTATTAGCTAATCTGGAGAAAGACTGTTGTATTCTGCCTAGGTACTTTGCTTGTTTTAAGCCTCATCACTTTGGCCCAACTCATTTATGGTGATGTTTTCAACAGATGCAAATAGTTGATAAGAAATGACTGATTTTCTCTTGTTGCCACATGTAATCACCAGGTGGATCTTTGTGTTTGATACATGAAGAAGCAAACACAGACGTAGGTTTTACTTTCAAATGTGATTGGCCATTATGGTTTCATTGGCAGATTCACAAACCTTTGACTTAAAAGCACTAGAAAGGCAAAGAGGAAAAAATGCTAGATTTCAGTTAGAATGATGGAATTGTGTGAAAGAAGGCTCCTTCCCGCTTTCCTACTGTAAATATGAGAACAACATAGCAAATTCCTAATGTAATCTGAACTTCAAATTGTTTATTGTATTTTAGTGTTTCTCATGGTCATCTAAGTATACAATCAGTTGCAGATGAATCATTTTATTATGTGAAATGTCAATGTTTAGTTCCACAGTACACTGACTGAATATCAGACCAAAAGCAGGGCTCAAGCTTCCAGAAAGAACTCCTACTGCCTGTGGTAGCACCAGCAATAAATTCCTCATTACAGTGTTGGTTTGAGTTGATGTTTCTCTCTTTCCCTTCAGACTTGTTTTCATGTGAGTTAACAAGTAAGCCATGCCCCTGGCTAGACTTCATCCCTTCCAGTGCTGGCGTCTCTCTGTCACTTTTCCCTCCTTGTTCCTCCCATTTCTTCAGCCCTGGTGAAACTTGCCACAAGGTCTGTCCTGTCACTTCTGCAGTTCATACTTTTCCTCTTCCCAATACTTACCTGTTGGCAGAAATATTTGTTCTACTGCACTGCTTCCTTAGCTCTTGGGCCTTGCATTTCTGTCTTTCAGAGTGTATGAGTGAATATATGTGGAGAGGAGAGGGCACATTAAGGAATCTCTCACATCCCTCATGCCAATCTTCTCAGGAAACAACCAAGAGTTTTCCCCCCAAAGGGAAGGAAAACAGCTAAGACTCATTCCACATCCTTTCCTCAGTTCTGGGATCAATAGGATCTAAGGCAACTGAGATGGGATACTGAGAGCTTTCAGACCTTTGTGTGTGGGAGAAAGCTTTATATACTTAGGCTAAATTAATTTTTCAGAATTCACAGTTGCCTTACTGCTGCAAATGGAGGGGAGCAGCCAATTACGTGAGATTTTTCCCTGAAGGAAAATATTTTTTTAGATTTAAATGAAAGTCTGAAACACATAATGTATTAGCAGATGCCATAGAGGGGATGCATCTGGTTTTCATTGTAAATCTGCCAGAGGTTAGTTTCTCCTCTAGGAGTGAATGCATAATAATAACATACTATTATGTGAGGGCATAATAATAACAGTGCATAAGGACAAGGGAACAATATTAATGGAACACAGACAACCTTAATGGTTTCTTTTCTTAAGCATGTGGCTTTGCACCCTTGAATGCATGCTTTTGAAGTTTAGTTTTGCAAGTCACTTTCTACCTACAAGCTATTTTAAAAAGTCAAACTGCCTGCTTTCCTGCTCCTGATATTTTAATCATTATCACACCATAATGACCCCAGATCAGCAGGTCTGGAGCATCCTGAGCCTCTCTGCAGACCTCTGCCATATAAGCTAACAGAGGTACATGAAGCCTTGCTCTGTTAGGGTGCTACTGACATTTGCTGACAGCAGAGGAGCAAACTTTCCTTGAATTAAGAAAAAAATCAGAAGTGATAAATTGTAGTTAAATAAAACAGAAAATCAGATAATATTTACCCAAGCGACTGTAAATGGTCTATTCAAGCTGCTCAGCCTCTGCAGCAGTAACTCTTCTCCACTCAGGACAGGTCAGAGCACCAATTTTGAATAGGCCCTATTTTAATTTTATTTTTTACTTTTGCTGTATACCGAATTTGAAATAGAATTACAAAACCCAACGGATTAGACTGACTTGGCAGAAACTTGTATTGTCTCCTCCCCTACGAGCACCCCATAGACCTGGAATTGCACAGTCAGGCCCATTTATGGTATTTTTGATCTGTAAAGCACCCTAAGGGATTAAAAAAGTTGACATTTTTTTTTTTTTAATTAGATTTCCTTCAAAACAGTGTAATGACTTTCCTCTGAGAAGCTGCACATCTCATGCCAGACATAGTGGAAAAGTCTAAGGAAGATTACATCTCCCAAGAGGGAACATATCTAGATGTTGCCATACAGAAAGGACATCAAGTTACAGAGAGAACAAAACCACCAAGAACTGTTAGAGAAGGAATAAAATTTCATCTCACATCCTCTCAGATTGTTAAAATCTTGTGAAAAACGGCTTGGGCTTGTTTGGAAAGTGATAATATGCACAGCCTGAATTTATGTAGACTATTACCTTAGTTTTTACTGAGTTTAGCTATTGGATGTAGCTGCTGCTCTCATACAGATAATCGGTTTTCACAATGTTCTTTCACAAAACTTGATGCAAACACTGTTTGCCATTAGCAGTAGCACAAATATATTCTTTATGCCTCTTTGAAAATTTCTTCTTTCTCAACTTAAAGAAAAAGTACTGCCCCACTTTCCTCCTGGTGATTTTGCAGCTACTCTTTATCTTTGTTTTAGATCTCTCTGTACAGAATACTGAAGAGCACACTTGGTTGCTGTTGTTGTTTTCCTTCTCTAAACACTTTCTCTCTGCCCAACTGGAGCTTAGGCAAAGTCGTCTGTAGGGCCTCATAAATCAGACTGTGCTCAGCTTAAAAAAATAGTTTGCCTTCTGAAGCCTGTGTCCCTACTAGTGATTTTTGTCATCCTTTCCTTTAACTTATTTTTAAGGTCATAAAGAGTTGTGTTGGCTGACAGTTTGCAGTGCAAAGGAAGGGTGGGGATGTGAGGATGGAAGGCAGAGGAAGGACCTCTCAGGGGAAGCACAGCTGGCCTTCAGATGAGAATCTGAACCTCCACAAAGTGAGATACAACCTCAGTTCCATCAATCTCTGTGAAGAAGTGATGGGACACAAAATACAAAAGATGGTAATATTAAAACATATGAAGCTACAGAGGTATCTAGCAAAATATGGGCTGCATCCCACTCTTACTGTAATCATCTTCAAGATCCCAAGGACTTGAGGAAGCTCAGTTCGATCACATGCTTCATTAAAGCAAAACATCGTTTTCATGTATTTAAATTAAGGAATTTATTAAAAAAAAAAAAAAAAACAAAGCCAAAAAAACAATCAAAACAGTGGTTTGATCTAGATACAGCAGCACTGTGACATTACTAAGACATTATGTACGAAGAATCCAAGCAGCCATAGAACACAGAAGCCTTTATCTTCAGTAACAATCTCAAAATGAAACTAGCTTCATCAAACAATGTTAAAGATCTCCCTGGAAAGAGAAACAAAACCAAACAGACCCTCCCCACCCCTACCCCTTTGGATACTAGAATGCTTTTTTTTTTTTTTTTTTTTTTTTTTTTGTACAATACCAACAGCCACTAGCTCTTCTAATTGAGAACACTTGCTTTAATTTATTACAAAAATGATCTGTTGACTCAGTTATGAAAGACAACTTTTAACATTGCTTTAGAAGTGTCTGCTCCTCTTATAGACTACATTATTAGAAGTGCTTAAAAACATTTAATCCTGGATATGCTCTTGAAATTCAATCAGAAGTATATTCTGTGTGTGTTTATATACCAAATATGATTTTTAATTTTTAAAGCAGGTGAAAAGACTAACCCTAATATGAAACTGCAATTTTACAATTTAATTATTTGTCAGATATGGGCAACCACATGATAGTTCATGAAATCTTTAGGTCTATCTACATTGCTCAGAAACACAAAATAAAGTTTTTACAACTTTCACCTTCAAAAGGTTAAAATGTTAAGCCTTTTAGAAGTGTCCAGTGTTTAAAAGAAATGTAATTAAGGGAGACCGCATTCAATACACATGAAACATAACTCATTTGAGCTTGCTAATAAACATATCTAACAGCTGCATGTGGGGTGATGAGAAAGGAAAACACATTTGTCATCCAGCCACTACCTGAAATGTCTCTTCTCTGGGAATGAATCTTCTCTACGGGACCGCCGATTTTCCAGAAAACCCGAAGTTCCCCTTTGGAGCCTGCTGATCCCAGGCATGTGGTTGCCTCTTGCTTCCACAGCTGGGCAGTGAGCTGACCTGATGTTTGCCACAGATGCATCTTTGTGACTTCACACAACATCTCACTTAATTGGTACCTAGGGATTTGTTTGCAGGCTCGGCCAAAAAAGTTGAACCAACGAATATTATTTTGTTCCCTTCCTCATAACTCTTTATTTCCAATATAAATAAAGAGGAAGTGTTCGTATGAATGTCACAATTACTAGTTAGCTCTTAAATAAGAAATGAATACTTTAACATTTGCACTATCAATCAGCTCATCTTCTGTTGGAGATACCTTTACAGAAGCGCAGTGCATTCTGTTTCAATATCTCTAAGGAACTAAGATAAACCAATAACAAAAAAGAACCCTAATTTACAAGAGTCATCTCTCTAGTCATGTAAATAAGAGCAGCTATATTAAGCCTGTTTCACTTAATAATACAAAGAGTTGATATTGATCTGTTTTATGCACAGACTCCAAAGTGCTTTCTATTGATAGACAGAGAGCATCCCTCCATGTTTAAGAACAGGAAAACAAAATTGTACAGAGGTTTACCCAGGGCAGTGAAGAAAAATATGGGCAGAATAGGAACACAAACCATCACTTCTGGCTCCAGTACATAAACCAAAGAGAATACATATGTGCCAGCAGTAATATTCATTTTAGTGAATAGGCAGCAATCTGTTTAAAATTGTTTCTTTCATAAAGCCCATTTGTCAGTACATTAGCTTAGCTGCTCCAAAGGCAGCAGCTTGTATTTGTATGATCACAGAGACATTTGGGGGAGGTGAGCATATAATACTGTAGCATACTGTTGGCTTTCACCTTCTCTTGTGGTTTCTCTAAAGGAAATAATTTGAAAAATTCTCTGAACCAATTTATTTCTCTTTTCTTTTTGCAGTTAAGGACAGAAAGTTATTACCAGCCAGCACTGCAATATTATTTAGTATAAAAGAGATTGTGTCCTGCCCAGCACACAAAAGAGACAAATTGCTTTAAACTTATGCAGACTTTCAGCTTTAGCACGAGGGTGTTAGTCATTATTATTCTTACTCTAAATAATTAGTAATATTTTAAATTGCAGGTCATATATTTGAAAGGCTTGAGATAGACAGACAACGCTGGAATCTTCTGTTTTCCATGGAACCACTGAACAGACTGATTCTGCCAAACTTTACTGCCAAATGTACCTCCCCGCAACCTGAGACAGACGAGGACTGTCCTTGGGCAGGAGAGCCTCTAAGTCTGGTCTTCTAGAGCTCTTGCAGGCCACTTTGTGCTTCATGCTACACACATGAAGGAAGATGGTCTACATCCCAAGAGGCAGACTAACTGAAGGATGTTCTTTCAAAGAAAAGTCCAGTCTCTTCAAAGATTGTATAGGAAGTGCCCGATGAATGATCTCCTCTGCACTGAGAAACTTCACAAGTGAGTATCACAAATATGAATTGAAAAAAAAAAAAAAAAAATAATCACAACTGACTATGAAGCAGAGGTTAAAACACCCATATCTTGTCCACAATGAAGTCAGGTCCCGCAGCCTCCTGTGCCACGGATGTCCATAAGAAGAAGCAGCTGTGCTATAGGGGTGTGGATTTATTGCTCTTCCAGAAAAGCCTCCATAGGGATCTCCTGACTGAGGCTCAGATACACGGGAACAGAAACCTGGGTGATGGCTGCTCACACACGCTGCGTGGGTACCTACCTGCCTCATCAAACTTTTCCATCCGACCCTCAGAGACAACATTGTCTTTGAGCCATGGGCCAGACCCTACACTTAATATAACCTTGTGTGTGCAGTTTCCAGGTCACTCAAAAAACTGTGAGCAACATAGGATGAACCAAGGAAGAATGAGCAGCAAGGTGTGGTAACAAGTGCCACTGGACACTTGCTAAGACACACACTGTGTTAGTTTTCACACTGTCCTCCACAGCTCACAGCTTGTCTGTCCTCCTTGTCCTGCCCATGTTTTTGTTAGTATTACAGATTGGTTTCTTGGTTTTCTTTTAGCGGAGGCATCTTTGCTGAAAAAGAACAGCAGCAACTGGATATGAAATGTGGGGCTTTGACAGCTGAAACAAAGAATTCAAGCTGGATCCTGAGGTCTGGTTGAATGACATTAAGTATCAGTGTCTTCAAATCCGATGCTTTACTGGGTCAGTCAAGTTTGATTCCCTACTGCTGATGGCACTCTTAGCCATAGCTTCTAGGGCAGGAGATGACTGTAAATTGAGATGGTATCAAATTGTTTTTATGGATAGCTGCTATTGTCTCTGAACTACCAGTTACCAAACATCCCTAATCAGTAGGGCCAAATGAATCCTGCACTATTGAATTCTGCAGCTCTCTAATGCCCAGTTTGATCTCCAGTACCTGTTTGATTTTATTATCTTCACACGTTTAAGAGATTCAGAAGCAAGTTTTTGTTCAGAAACATCATCTGAGTCATGGCCTTTCTTGTAAAAATTCTCTTTTTAGATAATCCAGGTCAAGAATGCACATGTAAGAGTTTAGTTTTGTTTTTTTTTTTTTTTTTTTTTCCTTCATTATCCATTTGTTTAAAAAAGCCTCTCATCCAGCCAGAGAGTGGCAAAAAATGCTACAAGACTTAAGTGAATCTTGAGACACTGTAGCAAATGAATAGCAAACATCTGAACCATAAAAGCCTTTAAACTAACTAGTGTTCATCAGACTACTCAGTAAAGATTTAAAAATAAAAAACATGCTTGCACAATTCAGGGTCAGACTGCAAAAGATTTCTGATTCTTCAAGAGAGGGAAGTTTACTCATTGCCTGTTTAAAACAAGCAACCAAATATGAATGTATGCATTTTTAAAAAATAATTTGCATTGTAATTGGAAAGGAGATAATAGAAAATTAATCCGTCTGGAAAGCTATTAAAGAACTCCCTTCTGCTCCTTTGTTATGTGCAAATATACCCCCAAAATTACCCATTTGGAGTCAAAATACAGAAAAGCCCATTGTAAATGCTCTCCAAGGTTGCACGATGAAACTATTTCTTTTTTAATTTTTTCAGCATTCCTGAACACCCATGGCTCCCAAGGCGTTTTAAATTTGGCTCCACAGAGCCAAATGCCAAGTGTCTGTGGAAGCCTGGCTGTGCAGGGAACTGCCTTGGCAGGGCTTCAGCCCTGAGTTCTGGGCTCACATTGCACCTGGTCACACAGCGGAAGAGAGGGGACTGTGGTTCTACTCCAGTTTTGAGTGCAAGGTGACCTGAATAATAAAAGAATGAAGAAAAATAAAGAAGTAATAAAAAAGAAAATCCTGCACTTTTTGTTGTTGGAGGAAAACCCTGACTAGAAGGTTCCTAGGTCTGTTCATTATCATTAGTGATGCATGATATTGATTGAATCTTTCAGGGCTTGGGTACTGAAAGTGTACAACAGTTCTGCTGCCCCAGCACTGTAATACTGTTTAAAGTTTGTCAGACAGGATAGCAACATTTTAAGGATGCAGCACAAAATCTCCATCAACTGGTCCTGTTTTCAGTCTCTCCCTGTGCTCACTCACTGCTCCCAAGGGGCTGGGATCCGGTGGGACTTCATCCCAGGCTTGATGCTTCAGGTTCACAAAAACATCCTTCTTCCATACCATCTTGAAGATTCGGTATATCTAACCCTAGCATAATGTCCACTAAGTATCAGAATTCAATGAATGCATCTCTCGTCATTCAAGGACTTTGCACTGTCCCTGTGTCTCCACTGCTAGAGTCCTAGAGAGGCTGAGGAAGGAACTGTCCTGGATGAAAGGAGAGCAGGAGAAGGCACATATGCTATCATTCACTGCTGTCATAAAAAATTCATCCACTACTAGTTAAGACCGATAGCATCTAAGAGGTATAAGGCCATCTACAATCTGTATTTGCAATTTCTTCACCAGGTTTCAGTAAGGGGTTTGTTGTTATTAGGATGCTATTTCCAAAGTGGGAGATGGTAAAGAAAGAAAATTTAGTCTTCGTATGCCAAGTTGGTAACATGTAGGAGATGAAGCCCTTGGGCCAATAGCTGCAGTTTTGTCAGATTTATCTAATGAAATATGAATGGACTAAGCCTTCTCCAACCATCCTTTCTTCCTTCCTCATGGCAGTAGGTAGATATTAGCAATCAGCCACCTTTCTCTGATGGGGGAATATGTTTGTCTGTTGCTGCAAAGTGATACAATGGCAGTAGCAGAAAAAAGAGATTAGTCTTTCAGTCTACCCCCATCCAGCACCCTCGTCCCCTAGCATCAGTGTAGAGGATGAAATCAGCTGAGAGTGCACAAACATGTTGTGTACCATACTGTTAGAAGGTGATGTCTTAGAGTGAGAGAAACAGGTTGGAGTTGCACAACTTTACAGCTCTCTAAGAAGAATTAAGATGTGTGTCTTGTCTTGCCTCAGGTACACTGATATACATCAGTTGTCGGGCTAAGATTTGTTCCTCCACTTCTCATCTACACTTGAAATCAGGTGAAATCCCATGTGTCATTGAAGAAGGCCTATGAAAACCTCCGAGAGCAACTATGTCTTCGTGCAGAGCATGCTTAAGTGACTAATCAGATTCCTGTTGACTTAGGTAGCTTTATGTCAGGCCATGAGAACAGAACTGGAGGTAATAGCCCTGTCTGTGCATAGCGGCTTTCACCTGTACAGTATTTAATTTCCCTCCTGTCAGGAGGCTGAAATCATTATAGATTTAGTTTTATAGCTGATACAGAGAGAGAAAAATTACTTAAAATTCTCATCTATTACTGTCTCTAAAATCTTGCATCTTCCATAAGATCTGCAATTACATTGTCTGACAAGGGAGACTGGCTGAAGCTCGCACTAAGCACCACTGATACAGGGAAGAGGAATTTCTGGACCACACTGATCTGAGGGAAAAAGAGGAACAAGTCCTTGGTGATATTATGGCACTCTTACACTACACTATATGTCTACTAACAACCAGGAAAAATGTAGGCTTTTTAAATGATGTGGACTTGCATCTTAATGTACTTTACTCCTGATAAAGGCGCCAAAGTCTCATCTCCCTTTCTTGACTTTTCTCTGTCAGCTGCTTTATGCAAATCCCATCTCTGTTCTCTCTCTCTCCCCCGCACAACCTCAAACTGTCTTAGTATGTATGTCTTTCTCACTCAGAGATTTGCCACTACTAACTTGCATCTTTTTAACCCTCTGCATTGGACAGATAGAACATATACATGATAGTCTAATGAATTTTGGCTACCAAGAATCCCACTTGAACAGTTCCTCTTTGTTCCCTGTGATAACTGCACTACTAGCTAACAGAGTTACAGAAACACCAAGCTGACCTTCAGGTGCTCCCTGATGACCCAAAGGTATAAAATCACCAGCATACTCCAGCTGACATTGTAAAGAACACGGTGAACCAACATGTTTTACAGAACATGTTGGGATATAGAGGTCCTGTCTGCACTTGGTGGGACAAAGGTTTTCCAATTCCTGTTGAAGGGAAATAGCCATATTTTTGATCTGGTGTTCTTAATAATAGATAGTGGCATGCTTGAGAAGAGTATGATTCTGATGCCTGAGGTACTGCTATTGATCCTGACTGATCCTGTTTATACTAGTGGGAACAATGTTTGCATCAATGGTTAAAGGATCCTGAACAAAGAATTATGGAACCGAAAGTGGGAGGTATTATTTCATAACTGACATTTTATTCAATTGGGGACCTAATTCAGGGGACGAGTCATGGTGTTTGGCATGACACATGGAAGTACTCTAAGTGCAGGCACAACCTGTAGGTTCTCCTACTGCTCAAAAGCAGCTCAGATCCCACTCTGAACCTCCACAGCTCAGCTCCAGAAAGCCGTCATTAATCTCATGGTCAGCACAAACCAGACTGTTGAAGCAAGAGCTGCCTGTTTGATATGAGCAACTGTGAAAAGGCCTTGGACTTTTAACTGCAGCATGGAGAACACACTGAATTTTTCTCTCACTTCAGCAGGTGCAAGTTTCAAGTCCTTGCAAAACAAATGGCCTTTTGCTTTTCCTGGTCACCTTTCACCCAGTTTTGTTCTTGCTGTCATTAGAAACAGCACAAAAACTAGCGAAGGAGAAGGGCTTAGAAAAGCGTTCCCTTTCTAACTAAAAAGTTTTTGATGAGCTAACAACATAAGTGCAAATCTCAGCTGTGCTGGTCCCATGACATCACAAACCTTAGGCATAGCAAGCAGCATTCTTGAATGCATCGAAATCTTGTCTTTTAGCATTTAATGCGAGACATTACAAACTAATGAAGAGGAGAAATGTATGCAGTGTTGCTGTAAACCAAATATACAGATGTAAAATAATTAAGAATAAACTGTTCCATAAAAATGCATGTCAATAAAACCCAGTCTGATAAAGTGATTTATGAATAATTTTCTAGAATTACTAAAAAGAATGATTTCTCATTTGAGGCTCTGGAAGTCTTGAGTCACATTTTTTTTTCTTTTAAAAAAATGTCTTAAAACACATGGCTTTACAGCTGCTGCTTGGAAAATATACACCTCCAAAGTCTGACTTTCATTTAAATACAAATGTACAAAATGTAAACTGAGACAATAGAGAAATTTACAAAACTTTTCTTTAAAAATAATAAAGACAAAATTCAGTTCTAGAATGATGCTATTTAAATACGTGCAAGTAGTCATGTTCATTGAATTTCTATTGCAATGTTCTAAATAGACAAATTTGATTCACACAGTCTTGAGTGCCACCTCCAAAAACAGACCTGAGTGGAAAATTCTTCTTAAAATGCGAGGCTCCACTGGAAGGAATGGATAGAAAATCTCCATTTTTGGGAGATCATTTTTTTTTTTTTTTCACTCAACGGTGGAGGCTCTCTCATCCGTAGAAGCTCCATAGATTATAGTGGAAGGATGCAACATGTTGTTTCATAAAACTGAGTTGGAACTAGCTGCTTCCAGTGGAGTTTGAACTTACGTGATTTGAATTTATGTGGTGATTTAAACTGGTCTTTGAATTTGGAGAACTCTTTGAATTGTTCTGATGCTGTAGAAGGAGGAAGACAATGACAATTAGATTCCCAAAATATGCCGTGCTTTATTTTAGTCCAACATTATTCATCTTATGGTGATAATGTACTAACTGGACTTCAAGATTCTTGTTTGAAGATCTTTGCATGTAAAATATTCTTCACTTTCTTACCTGTATTCTCTCTAGGTCAGGAGGACCATGGCGGTTCTTGAGGAATGCAGCAAAGAAGACTCACTCAAGCTCCAGGAGTCAAATCAGTTCACTGCAAAATGTCAGTATCTGCTAAATCTGACTAATACAGAGGATACCTGCCAATGCTCAGGCATGGTTTAAAGCCTACAGAAATAGATTGCTCTAAGAATGTTATTTAGATTTGCAAGTGGTGCCATGGTGCCTCATGTAAGCTGTACATCCCGTATTATGTGGTCTGCTCTCTTCTCTAGTGTCTTGGTTTCCAGTCATAACTACCTCACTCAAAATTTGCATTTTCTTTTTTTTTTAAAAACACACAAATCAAGGATTTTCACAAGGAACTTATTAAAACCATGTAACCATTGCAAAAGACATTTCAGCATACCACTGAAAAATCGTTTGGGTAAGAAGTTTTCGACTCCTGGAAATAAAGCTCATTAACAACACTGGAACTTCTGGTGGTAAAAAAATCACAAGAGGTAGATGGGAAACTTGGGATATGGAGTATTAGTCAGGAAATTACCAGGTAACTGTGACAGCCAGCCCTCTCTAAGACGCACTGTCTTTCTCCTAGCAAAAATACGACCAGAACACAGCTGTGACATTGGGCATCTTTGGGATTTTCCTTGTCTTAGTCATAAAAGATCTCACCTGTCTTTTAAATATTCTCTGTAGCAATCCTTTCTTGGGTGGCTCTGGGGGGTAGCTTTTGTTTAGGTCTGGTGAAATAGTACCATTTGGTCCAAATACATTCAGTTCTTTGAAACACTCTGTTTCTATCATCTAGTGGAATACAATAAGAAAGAAAAAAAGAAATTTTACATCTGCATTAAATATATTCCAGTAGTGCTAGGTTGTTCAAAGTGAGGATCAGGACCACCAGCTTGAGTAATATGTTAGGAGAGATATCAGTTGAAATCCTGCTGGTGGCTGTAGAAGGCAAATGGGATGTATGGAAAAGAGAGGCTGAGTCTGCTCTGCATGTTTGCACAACAGTCATCTTAGAAGTTGCCTCATAAAGCTCTTGTTCTTTTGTTTAGCATTGTGGAGAATATTGGGTAAAGACAGGCTTACTCGCAAAATCCCAGCTATGAGCACCCCTCTGCCTAAGTGGATCTGCTGTTTGATCCAGGGTTAGATTATGAATTCCACTGTTGGATCTGTTTTGGTATCAAACAGAAACAAAGACCCAGATCTGGAAACCCTGGAGCAGTTCAGGGTCCAGAGTCAACTGCTGCGGCTGTGACCTGCTGCAGGTACCAGACAGTGGGTGAGATCAGGATCACCAGTGGAGGAGCCTCCCGTTAGGACTTCCAGCCATCCCACGGAAGCTCCCGAGAGCTGTTGTTGAAACACCTTTGTAGAAATCCATGAGAAGGAAGTCCAGTAGGATCCTTGCCAATTTACACAAATATGCAGAGCCAATAGATACAGTCACCTGAACCTGACATCTGTGGTACATTATAGATCTTGAAAGAGGCCGTTTGTAACGTATGAAAGCATTAGAGTCTGGCAAGTTATCCAGTAGCTATATATTACTGGAAATATACAGCTGCTCTTAAACCATCTGTGCTTGGGGTTTTATTGGAGTAATTTTACTATGATACATCCTTACCTCATTTTGCCATGGAATAGACACTGATCCTGTGGAAAACTTGGAATAGAAATCATCATCTGTTTGGTCCAGGTTAACTCCTTTCACTGTGGAGAATTGCTCAATGTCCAACACATCCTTGCAGTATACAGCTCTGGGCTATCTCAGCAGGAAAAAAACAAAACAGCAAGAGAAAAAATATTTCTGAGTCTGACCATGTGCTTTCATTCACAGATTCAGTCAAGTGAGAATTCCTAACAACAAGTGACTATCTGCATCCTGCTTCTCTAGACTTGATCTGCCTGCTTGTTTATCATCAAAGGCTGACTTTGCTCTAAGCATGTTAAGCTTCCCACTTTGAAGTCCTTAAAGCATCAGCGCAGCCAAAGTAGGTTTTAGTCATCCATGTAGCATATGATTAAGACGTGAGGGGAAAACGACAGAAAGAGCAAGGAAATAAAAATCAAATTCTCCAGTAGTCTTTTCTTTTAGAGAGGGAACAACAGAAAACCAGAATGTTTATGAGAAACACATCAGACATAAGTCTGAAAAGGGACCTCAAATAGAAGTGTCCTTCTGCTCAGATAGCTGTGGAGTTTGCAGCTTAAAAATTTGAAGGAATGTATACTAAGTGCTAAAGAAAGCAGAAGAGGTTTGGCATTTTTCCATTGTTTTTATTAATAGCTCAGCTGCTGGAAACTGTCCAGAATCACCTCTATTAACTCTTTAACTTGGCTGCATTTCTTCAAACAAATAGTCAAATGGCTTTGCCTTTTTAAACTACTTAATTTTCTGGGATGACAGAGACAGGACTCTTTGCAGTGATACTGCTTTTAGCTCATGTTCCAGCAGTCAGCCACAGAAAGCAGAAATAGTCATCACTAGCTACCTGTCATAGTCAGTGTGGTCATCTGCACGCCTAGAGAGTTCCCATCAACAACACAGTTCCCCTTTGATGCGCAGGAATAATTGAGGGGTGGCTTGTGGGACTAGCCTGACCTGCTGAACTCAAGCACATGTTCAGTCCTACTGTCTACATCCAGTACCATGACTGCACAGCCCAGGGCTCCAACTGTGCAGTGTTTTTTTCTAGATGTGAGCAGTGGGACCAAACAAATCAGGCTGATTCCTGACGGAAGTTCTATTTGCTGGAGGCTGCATCCATCTGCATTCCTGACAGCGGCAATCACAACATTTTTGTGGAGACAGAGTAGTCTAGAAGAGGATGGAGAGACATGGGTTGGATTACAACCTCTGCCATTGGCTATATAGCTTTGGGTGATTCAACTGACTTCAGTAAAGCCTTGGAAATCTATGCATGAAGTGCCAAATAAATTAAATTAGGGGCAGCTCTTGAGTTCCCAATAAATAGCCATAAAAATTTATGTGCCTCTGCTTTAGCAAATATGTCTATAAGAGGTGCCTTCTAGGCCTTACATGCCACAGTTAAGCTTTTAATACACTCTGGCAGATCCCAAATTTGAGCCCAGAATTTTCTAATTTTCTACATCAGAAAGAAATAGTAGCTTGTCTCCTATTTCTTCCCACTAAAGCAGGTCGTAACACCATGGGCTAATTGGCAGGAATAACTAGGCCGCATAGTAAAATGTAAAGCAAAACCAGAGCAGCTAAAGTAAACTTTTGTAGCGTTCAAACCACTTTGGTTTGGTTGAGTTTGCAGCAATGTGAATGAGAGCTGCCAAGATGTTACTTTCGTTAATATGTTAAAATGGCAGTGTTTACTTAGAACCATATGGGAACTTTAAGGATATAAGGTTTAGCCAGAAAGAGAGCCCTGAAGGAGGAAAATAATCAAATAACTCCATGCACTGGGGTAGAGACTGATACCACAAAAGGGTGGAAAAAGTTTTGTTATTGCCAATACAACAAAGAAAAAATTTTGTTATTGCCAATGTAACAAAGATTTTCAGTATGTGCAAGACTGGTGTTTAAACCTGAGTAAGGACCCAAGGTTGCGTGTCGTGCCCCATGAACATTAACAAGTTCAAAATGCTCTCTCGAGTCCAAGTCAACTCCTCTCCTTGAGGTGACATTTGGTACCTGAACCTGGTTCAGACTCTGTAACAAATGCCTGTTTTCATGACGGTCCAGTCCATTCCTCAGTTCCATGGAGCTCTGGACTTTGTAATTTTGGTTTCACCTCAGCATATATCTATATATCTGTACACATACTCATGGTTTTCACTGCTGATTGTTCTGAGCACCACCTGGTCTTGAGCGTTCTTACTCTTACACTACTACTGTGAGTAGGGGAATACAAAGGTTCCCAGTTTAAAATTTGGGAACTGAAGCATGAACAGATCAAGTGGTGCCTCCAGTGTCACATAGGAAGACTGTGGTAAAGTGAGTGGGAATGTGGATAGGAAAACCCAACATGGAGGCCCACCCACCCTGTATGCACATGTCTAGAGAGCAGCTCTCCTCCTCCTCCCAGCCTCCCCACTCCAGCTCTACTGCTTATCACATCTTCTGAGGGCAGCTACTCACGCAGAGAGTGATGACAGCTCTGAGAGAGAGAGGTTATTTTAGAAACAAATCTCTTGAAAGAGGCCAATGGGGATTCTTCCTATCACACTTACGTCAGGGACAAAGGGAGGATCCAGCATTCCCGCTTCTAACCGCTTGAAATTCATGCTCTTGAAAAAGGGGTGCCTCTTCACTTCTGCTGCACCTTCCCCTTGACATCCTAGCCGCTGCTTCACATCTTTGGTGAGGAGCTGAAACATGCCGAGAGGAGTGGTAAGGATGTCAGAAAAGCAAGAGCTCCACAAAGATATTTTTATCTCTGGTTGGTTTTGAATGTGCCCAGAGGGATGTACAGAGGGGAATTGTAATTGCTGTTACTTAATGGCCAAAGTTAAATGGGTTAGGGCTGCACTCTTCTACATGCTGGTGAAACCCTTTGAAAATTATCTGCTGTAAAGTGTTTACAGTCAAAATAGAGACTGTTGCTTCTACTTACTTTCAGTGAACTCTTTCAAGAGGAAGTCTGACATATCCTAATAACATCTATAGATGCATACTCCTAAGTCCCATGTGCTTCTTCTCAGTTCTTTTTTTTTTCTTGTTACTCTTGTAAGAACAATTTTCCCATGTTGCTTAGGCAGAATGACTTCATTATCAAATGTATTTCCCTCCATGCATTGCAGATGACACATTGGATCAACCCTTTGTGCTCCCGGGCTTATCTCTGCTTTGCTCATGGAGCCAGTATCTGGAACCATCCACAGTTCAGACTTGTTTGTTTTTAGAGAAGGGCAATGCACCACCTCTACCTGCTACAGCAAGTCCTGACTGTTTCCTGGGTACCTGTGATGGAGCAATGGACACTAACTGGACTCAGCACCCTTGGTCTATTAGATAAGCAGGTCTAAGAACACAAACACAGTGGTTGTAGGTCCTGGAATACCTTGTATGGATGGACTAATTGACCTGCAAGAGAACAGTTCAATGGAAGAACAATTCTGGCACAGAGTAGTTGGTGGATGAGGGGAAAACATGCAGTCAAATGTCTTCACCAATATGCCTCTTCTTTTAAATCATATGCATAGAATCAAGTAGGCTAAATCAATGTCTTAAGAGATCACATCTAAACAGCTGAAGAGAGGTAGAGCTCAGTATGCAAATGACTGGTGCAAAAAGACCATCACTCGTGACAAGGACCTTTCTAAACGCACCACTGATTTCAGGCAATCTGCTGAAAACTGAAGGCTCACAAATTTGTTTCCTTTTTTTTCCCTTCCATTCATCTTTGAGGAAGCCTGCATGATGTTTTCTTAGATAGAGGAGGGAAAATATAACTCCAAACTCACCACAAAAACCAACCAGAGATTTCAACTGCCTATGAAGGGGATACATAACATGTGCTGTAGTACAACAGAAAACTAAACACGCATTCAAAACAGCCAAGGCCAGCTCTGCCAGAGTCTCTGCTCTGAGGGGAAAGCCTACATACTTGCACCGCAGCACCATGGAGGAGTCAGGGCCACAGCCCTTCTCCACGGGAAGGACATATCTCCTGGAGCTGGGCCTGCAGCCAGGCACGCACCCCACTGCTCACCACTTTTGCCACCCCGATTTCCAAACGGCGGCTGAAGGCAGGGGCTGGGCCCGCCAGCACCGACACCGTGGCTGGGCACGAGAGGGGCGAGGGGCAGGCTGGGGGTGCCCAGCACGGCCCCAGCGCAGGGGAGAAGGGTCCCCATGACCCCGTGAGCCTTGGAGCTGTGCCCGGGACCCTTCCCTGAGGCAGAAGGGGACTGGTGCTGGTGTGCCCGGGGGAGGGAAGGGCTCACGCCTCACCTCCTCATCCATCTCCAGCTTTGCTGCTCCAAAGCAGGAGTTAAAAAACAGCACGCTGTCCCCTCAGCCCCTCCCCAGGTGGGCTGTGCAGACCAATTGCACTCAAATGGTGAGCAAAACGCTCCAGGTCCATCTGCCCATGGCGGGCTCAGCAGCTATGCAGGACAGTGGGGTGGTTTGGGTTCTCTGTGCATCTGAGTCTGTGAAGGGACTGAGCCCTGGCTGGCACTCGGGAGAGCAGGAGGTGAATAGCTTTGGGAGGGTTGGAGAGGAAAATAAGTGTTTCAGGAAACCGGGTAGAGAATCAGTCACAGCCCTGCAGGAGGTTGGGACTGGAGAGCCAGGCAGCTTCCCTGCTAAGGCAAGGTTGTCTGGAGATGTTGGTTGTAGGCTTTCCAGCTCAGAGTATGCCCCAGTACCCTCTGGTTGTGTTGCTATCTCAGCCACACCATCTCAGTCAGGAGGAACCTCGAAAGAACCGTTTGTTGCTAATGTGAGGTTGATAAACTTTGCTCTGGCATCTGGTTAGAGCTGGGTTTTCTTGGCCTTATCACAGGTTTACAGGGGCACAGATCTCTAGGCTTCTCTGAATGCTGTGCTACCCCCAGGCATCAGTGGTTTTCTTATCTGACTTCCACAGCCTCCATAGTTCTGCATTTTTTTGCCTCCAGCCTGAGACAGCAAATGGCTTTGGCAATCAGTGTGCCCCATGTATGCAGGGACCATCCTCCAGGAGTCCTGAGCAAGCTACAGCTTCAGAGGCCAAGCAGGCAGAACAGGTAGTGAAGAGTTTTGTGGGACATAAGAGTCTTGGGCTCCGATCTTTCTGCCTCAGCAGTAGCAGCAACAATAGCCAAAGGAGACTGTATGGATTGAGGGATGGGGGAAAAGCTAGTGGTTCTGGCTAAAACAGCAATTTCCAGCTTCCAGATAGCAATGTCCCTTCCTTCCTTGCAGTTTCCTCTGCCTCTGCTGCTGTCTAGGTGGTGATTTCTGGTCTGACTGGTCACCATGAGTGGCTGGTTTGTAGATGGAAGAAGACTTGAAGAAACATCTCTGTGCCTTGCCATCCTCTGAGTGCATAGATTCAGCACCATATTGATCCAGCTCATAGGAAAACATCTTTCTCAGGGCACTTCTCTGGAGTTTGCTTTCCCTGGATAGAAGGACGGAGGGACTTTTTTGCTTTCAAATCATTGCATGGGACTTTGAGTTCTCATCATCTTGAGGCAAGGTTTTCTGTTGTGGGGTTTCTGCTTTTTTTTGGCTTTGTGTGTTGTTTTTTGGGGGTTTTTTGTTTGTTTGTTTTTTAAATCCCAACAGGCATTTGGATTTAGCTTACATGAAGAAGATTGCTTTCAAATTTTCAGTCAAGATCTGGTTTGCTCTATTGTGTCCGGGCAGAGAAGACAATTTCTTTTGATCTTCTATTCTCATGTTGAGAGGACTTTCCTGGCAGGTGGAAAGAAGAATCTGAAGGCATAGGACCACCCATGGTTCTGATATATTTTTGGAAATGATACCTTGAAGCTCTCAGGAAGGGTGCTGCTGAGGAGCAAGTTGTAGTAGGAAGGGGTAGATCTGGACTTGCTTATAGATGATAAAGGAGAGCTCTGCAGTTTCTGCTCTACAAGTCAGCTGTGAAGGGAAGGAAGGGGGTTACTTTCCTGCCTGTGCAGCCAGTAATTCTCCTGCCTCTGAACTAAGCAGGAAGACCAAGCTAATCTGGGAATTTACCCTTGCCAGGCAGTAAATGTTAGAAGTTTTTTGGAGTGGGTGGTCAGAGGATAGGGTAGTTGAGGATAGAAAAAGGCTGTCTGGGGATTCCTAGGCTCCTCCGTGATAAACAAGGGAGTATTCAGTAACATCAGATGCAAGAAGGAAGTCTCTGGAGTATGAATGCAGTTGGTTGTGGGTGGCTGGCCACTGCAGCTGAAAGACACAAAAGGGAACAGGCTACTGGGAATAGGCTGGAACTAAAAGACCACATAAAGGAGAGAATACTCCTGCAAAGCCCTGCTGCAGGGGAGCAGCTGCCTGCCTCTTGAGGAGAGTGCCAGGAGAGTCCCAACGGAGGAAAAAATAAATTAATGGAATTTGGTAAACTGTAGCTGAATCCAGCTCTAGAGATGGCAACAGGTGAAACCAGACATGTCTCCTGGCTTCTGTTGTGGATATCAAGAGATAGCATGGATGAGAATACTTTCCAGAGGGGAAAGTCCTTCCTTTCTCCAAGGAATAATGAGTCTTGTACCATTTCCTGCAGTCCCAACAGTTCTCTGTAATAGTAAATCTGTGTAATAGCCTGCAATATGCATCCCATTTGAGAATCTGACCAGGAAAAGAAAACGGAGGTAACAACTGTGTGTTTTGAGTCATCTCTACAATTTGGTTTAATTCAGCTTCAAAGGATGCATTTAATATGAATAGAGAGCAGAACAAAAGCAACTACATCAGGCTGATGACAAGCCCTCCTGGGACAGCAGTGCAAATGATCCAATCAAACACAATTTAAGTGTAATTCTACAGCCAGAGCCTACGGAGAATTCACAGAGCTTCAGAGCTGAAGACGGCTTAGGCCACCAGCCATGCATGAAGTTGATACCAAGCAGCAGAGATTTATGTTCTGGTAACAAAGGCTCCAGATGACACTGGATGTGTGTAAATGAGGCCAGGCTTTAGTCTACAGAGTTATGGGCAAAGCATGAGTAGACTAGGACTTTCAAAGAAGAGTCTTGAGTAGAAGTGGTGAAGTTACATTAAGATCTTTTTCCTGATATAAAGAACTCTCTGATACTTTCATGTCACTCATTTGATCCCCACAGGGGATTCTAACTCTGCAATGTCTGAGACTTTTTCCACAGCTTTGTTTTGCTTCCTTTACAAAAAGAAACAACTGTTGTGAGGATTGCTAAAAATAGCCAACAGTCCCCAAAGCGCTGCTTTATTTATCTTCATGTGATCAGTCAGTTCGTATCCAGATCAAACCATGTAATAAATAACTTGGAGTCCTAAGATGTTAGTCCTAAAATTATAGGAGTAAGGGAAACTTTTTGTAGGATGAGTGCGAAAATTGCTGCTCAAGAAAGGAGAAAAGGGAAATGGTAAAACCAGTTCCATTGATCCAGCTGATCAAATAGTTAAAGCAATCACCTAAATAAATTTCAACCCTGAAACAGAAGTAAACACACTATTTTTAATAATTTTTAGAGAATAGTAAAGTAATACTGTGGTCACCTCCCAATTACTAAATGAGACAAGGCACTGGTGTGGGAACTGAAGGTGCCGGAATGACATAAATGGCTGTATGTTGCACTGCTTATGCTCATGAAATCACAGCCCAATCTGGCCAATTGAGGAATCAAAACTCTCTCAGGCATGGGTGACAATTAAGCTTATTGCAAAGGCTTACTACAGGAGATTTAAAAATTATTATTATGATGATTATGATGATTATGATTATTATGATTATTATGATTATGATGATAATTACTGTTGTTGTTAATATTATTATTATTATCAATAGCAGTAGCAATCATTTGGAGAGCACCTTGATGCCTCCCAAGATAGATGAAAGAGCAGTTATTCTCGGGCAGCACTGATAAACTTTAAGGTGTTATAATTTGTGAACAAGTTGGTTTCCAGGGATGAAAGCAAAGAGGAGGGATGAAAGCAGGAAGGAGTAGTAGCAGTATGATGACAAAGTTTCTGGTGGTGAGGAAGAGAAAAAACTGCTTTTAGGGAAAAAAGAATCCATCAGCTTTTAGTTGGTTGGGGGAGGCACTTTGGGAAGGGAATGGAGATCAGAATCACAGACCAGCTGGGGCTGTAAGATGCCTCTGGAGATTGCCTAGTCCAATCCTTCTGCTCAAAGCAGAGTCACCTAGAGCAGGTTGTTCAAGGCCTGTTCAAGGTCCAGTTGGGTTTTGGATATCTCCAAGTGTGGAGACTCCGCAGCCTCTCTGGGAAACCTGTTCCAGCATTTGACTACCCTCATTATGGAGAAGGGTTTCCTGATGTTCAGAGGAACCCTCCTGTGCTTCAGTTTGTGCCCACTGCCTCCTGTCCCATCACTGGTCACCAAACCAAGAGTTTGGCTCCATCTTCTTTGCACCTTCCAATCGGAGACCCCTTTTGCAGAGTCAAATGGAAGCTGCAGGAATAAGAAGCAGCAGGGAAGACAGTCTGCAGGAAGTGTAGACAAACAGGACAGTGACAGAAGAACACAGCAACGTCGGCCTGTCCGATACTGTTGACTTGAATGCACTTCAAGTCACATCTTTGGATGCAAGACTTCATTTGTTAGGGAAAACACACATGTACATCAATGAAGTAAAAGTCATAACAACAACAAACAGGGAGCATTTCCTAGAAAGACTGGATTTTTTCACAGAAAAAACACACCATGAAGCAGTTATGTTATATGGGAAATATGGGTTGGGGAGATTCCCAGAAAGCCAGCTGCCCCTGTTCCTAATTATTTATTATTCATCTCTGTTTCAGTCCAAAATGAGGGCTGATTTATGGGAAATGACTTACAAAATGAAATATGGAAACATGGGATGAATGATGATTAATGGGTGCAGTGATATGTGCCTGCAAAAATGCAAAGGTCATAAACATCCAGGAGGGGAAGGTTGACATGGGGTGACACTAAGGGGTTTCATATTAGTAACTGAATAAAGACAATGTATTTCCTGATGGAGACGCTATTAGCTCATGAAGTAAGCTTTGAAGAGAAGGCGAGGAGACATGGGGGAAAATATGTTGTTTCTCACTCCTGCCCTGAAGAGTCCACTACAGAAAAGCCTTTTGTGTTGGGTCTTTGTGAAGGCTCAAGTTGGATTTATGTATTTCAACTTTATGCTTCATTTTGCAGGTATGATGGGTACTTAATTATCACTTTTTTTGTTTCTTCATTACAATGCTGATACAAAGCAACAAAATTCTGGTTTTCAATATAAAGAGCAAAAGGTACTTCAGAAAATATATTTGAATCATGGATTTTAAACAATATCACTTGATAAAATGGATGGAAAACCACAAACGCCATCATGCTCAGTATCAGAAGTAAGGCTCTTCCAGCCTTATGGCACAGTAATTTTAATAATGTTCAAAAATGACAGGGTTGTCTTTGGTCCATTAAGAATTTGCACAAACTACCTAAATAAATATGCCATGTGATTGGACAGTGAAGCAGTAATGATCAAGTTGTCAGGAATGATTTACATATAGTTCATGGTTCCCTGAGGCAAGTGAATGAACTAGATAACTTCCTGAGGTCCCTGACTCTGAAACCGTAGACTCTATGGCTTGAAGATGAAAATGACCACTACAGTATAACGACTTTCGCTGTCTATTTCTCTGGGAGTGGTAGGTCACCTCCAGCACTGTCCCATCAATGCTACATTTAATGCTTCTCAGCTTGAAGTTCTCATGGGCTTGGTTATTTTCAAAGTATACATTCATTCTATTATGCCTCATGCCTGCAACTAACTACAGAACAAGCAAGAAGAATATATTTTTTGCCTCATGACATTTTCATTTCATGCTAACAACAGGACAAGCACAAAGTCTCTGCCACTCCAGCAGGTGCTGTCTTCACCTGGTGGGAGTTGAGATGCTACTAGAGAAGAGATGGCAGGCTGTTTGAGCACATGAAATGGTCTGTAAGAGCCTGTGGCTGTCCTAGATCCTCCCACGCTGACTTCACTGGGGGCTCTGAATTGCAGATTAAGGGCAGCAGTGAATGGCCTAGAGTATCTATCAAGAGTGATGTCAGTTAATTACTACCCCTGAGATTCAGCAATGAGTTGGTGCACTGTGAGTTAATGACTTCCAGGCATGATACTTGGCAATGCTACCTTTATTATTTTGCAAGGAGACTTCAGTGTCTCTTCATGAAGCCAGCCAACCAGAATGTTGTTGATCTGCTGTTTGTTTGCCTGTTGCACAAGATATTGGTGAAACTCTCACTACCTATTTGTTGACCTTTCTTTCCCTTCATTCTCTCTCTACCAGTATACACAGATATGTCATTGTCTCCAAAGGAGACTTCACTCTTTAGCAAACAACATCAAGAAAAAGGCCACATCCCTTTCCAAATTACAATTCAGCCTTCTAAAGATGGATGTCGACAAGACATTGATGAATTCAGCCACAGCTTTGAGATTTCTCAGAGGGTTTGAGGATTTCCATTGTCAGACATGGCTATTGTGCTACAAAAATGACTCCCAGCTGAAAGAGTGAGAAAACATTTTAAAGGACAGCTCAACAGTATTAAAAAAAGCTGGATACCCTGGCACCTCAGGGGAAAAGCTGCTAACAAAGTTAGTGAGATGGGGTGGGACAACATTTGAGTGTCACAATAATTCCATTGCATAATCTTTGTCCTGCTTACCCCCAGCTCTCACCAAAAACAATGGAAGCATGGGGTTTTCAGTTCCTTGCAGGAGACAATCAGAGTCTTGCATCATCAAGTCCTTTTTATTTTTACTAAAAGATTATAAAAGACAGAAATACATTCTTAACTGCAAACTAACATTCAAAGTCTCACGAGAATAGATACCGCTCCCTTGGCCGTAAAACTTTGGAGAGGACTCAAGATGACCGTGATGAATCTCATGGATAAGCAAGCCCAAATAAACACAATTTGAATGAACAGAGAGTGCAGTCATCCCATCAACAGATGAGCTTGGTTAGTCCTTGTCTCTGCAGCCCCTCTATTGTACTGTGTTACTGCTCAAACCATGTCAGATACAGCTTGCTAATGAAGCTACCACACTGGATCTTCAAGTCCCTTACCATTTTACAGATGGACTTGGCCTCCTCAGAAAACTTATGGGAGTACACCTCTTCTGTCTCCAGCACTCTTCTGTCCACTTCTTCCCTCTTCACCTTCTCTTTCCTTCCACGAAATGGTGATTGCCCAGCAATCATTTCATAAATGAGACAGCCTAGCCCCCAGTAGTCAGGGCTGAGTGTGTATCTCTGATTGTTCAACACTTCTGGAGCTGTGGACAAGAAAGATGTGTCTTGAGGACATGCTTGATATTTACATAGGCAAAAAAAATTACATTTATGGAAGTTCCATTTTGGTGACTGACTACACATGCACAGAGGATGGTGGGCGAAATAGAAAAATACCTCCTGATTGCTGTTGATGGCATTACAGAAAATGCAGCATGCTACATGCCATGTTTTTTTTTCTACATGCTATATGTCATGTGCATGCTGTGTTCTGACTTCTCTACCAAGTCAGACCAATTAAAAAAAAAAATTAAGTTGGAGCTAAGTATTGAGCAGAGGCCTAATCTTAAGAGTCCTTTCAGATTTTTCCATTTAGGGAAGATACGACATACAAACACACATCCTGTAAACAGTGCTTCAAAAGCAAATTCTGTCATTTTGCTCAATTTAAAACTTATTTACACCCCCCACCCCCCCTTTTTTTTTTTTAAATATCTATTTATTTTGTGTTGCAACCATCTAGTGTGCTCTGGGCATACAGTCGTTGTCTTGCAGGCATTCTCACTTCCATACATAGGTACAAATACACATACACATGTGCTCACAAGTGTGAGTACAAACTTACACTGAGATAACAAAATTTAGAAATGACAATTGATCTGCTTGCTTTCATTAAAGTCTCCATATGGTGTAACAGTGGCTCATATCAGCTAGTTTCTACTTAGTCAAATAAGCATAAACAATTTTTATTCCAAGAAATATGCGCACCCAGAGAATGCATGAAAATAATTACATTGAATTTAGAAAACAGATCTGGTTAAATCAAGGAGTGTGCTCTTTACCAATGTACAAATCTCTACTCTTCTTTTGTGCAGCCTCCCTTGCACAAAGGGGAATACTCAAGATGACCTTGTCAAGATGACCGTAGGTGCGGTCATTTATCATAAATTACCCATTTTATCATAAACATACAAATACATTTTAACTATTATACGAAGTAGCAACTAGGAAGAAACCTTTCTTTTAGCACTAACCCTCCCAAAATAAATCTACACTAGAATCACTAGAATCCCAGTTGTTATCTTCCCTTTTAATTTTCTTTGCTTATTTAAGATTATAGGCCAGTCTCATTAAAAGCTGCTGGGGTCCATCCTTTCAATTACTAGCATGACTCCTTGGTGGGCTGATGCAGGGAACTGGACCCAGCTGAATGTGAATCTTCTAAAATTCTTTTTCTTAAGCTTAGATGGCAGAAGGATCTCCAAAACTCAAATAATCTCAGCAAATTATAAAAAAGATGAGCTTCTGAAGACTTACCCATATACCCTACTGTTCCCACTCTTCCACGTATTGATTCACCCTCAGGGATTTTAACAGCTAGACCCAAATCAGATATTCTAATATGGCCTGGATGGAAAAAAGAAACAAAACAACACAAAGCAGAAATGATAATATGACCCAAATTAGTCCAAAAACACAACTGCTGTCATTGGTACAATACTCTTGCAATTTATTGTTCAGATATTTTAAGAAAATTGTGTTCTGAATCGCTGAATTGAAGCACTTTCATTGATAAGGAAAAGAGGAATTATTAGGGACATTACAATGCAGTGAAATTAATTTTAACAGTGAGGCTACAAACTGGAGTGGATTGTGCTAAATATTTTAGAACCAAGCAAAAAAAGGCAATGAGAAGCATATTGTAGGGAAGTATCTTGAACTGATCACAGAGGATGGATGGGCTGACATAATTCTTGAACTCCCTGTTGGCTGAAGGGGTTACATCTGGTCTGTAAATCAGCATGAGATTTGATTATCACTGCCTTCAGCAACAAACAGGTACCTGGGTTTGCATAAAGTGAGAGTTGGCTCAGCAAAGGATGAAAGTACTTTTGAAAATGGAGTGGGAAGCACAGATTAAGAAATCCCAACTTCCTTTGTGCTGTGTCAGCCTTGCAACAATAAAAAACAACGAAAAAGGGCAGACACCCCCAGCAAAGCCGTGCTCCTGAGAACAGATCCTGCTGAGCAGCTTGGCTGCTTCATCCCATCGTGCAGTGAGCTCCAGCACTTCACCCGTACCAAGACAGGAGTATTAGTGTACGCTGAGCCTCTTAGTCACTTCAGAGCATTATTTGTCTTTGTACAATATATATCTGAAAACTAACTTAATCTACTTTACTGTGAAAGCATCTCTGTAAATCTCTGAGACTTACCATAATCATCTAGCAGTATATTTTCTGGCTTCAAATCTCTGAAAATGAAAGATAGCAGTTATTTGTATGAAGCTGGTTTTGATAACATAACCGTAAGACAGTGTGTGAGTGCATTTATTACCAGTAATAATGCAATTGAGTGTCGACTCAAACAGTAAGGAACTAATGAAACCAATATAACTTTCTACAACTCACTTCACAGATAGACTGAAACCATATGTCTTTTTCTAAACTAGAGTCACATTTTTTCTCTAAGCCAAGCTTTTAGTTCCTAATCCACTCTATAATGGACTCATCCATCTAGTCCAGTACGGCCTGTAAATCAACCCCTCTAGTCCTGTGTGTTGTTAAATCTCTGTAATATTTTCTGTTATAAAATCTTTTGTTAAAAAGAAAAATATTTTAAAATATTTTATTTGCATATGAAAATGGAAGTAGGAATCTGTTGGGCTCAAATTTTCTATTCCTGGCATCTGACTCAGACCAAGTATGCAAATATGTGTACACACACTTGTGCACACATGTAATAACTTCAGCAAGTCTGGAAAATGATAGGCAGAGGGGTGAATGCTGTGCCCAGATTAAAATTCTTCTCACAAACATTTGTGAAATTCTACTGCCTATGTGGTTTGGAGCAATGCCATGAAAATTGGCAAGGTGGTCACTCTGATGTCAAAGATGTGCCTTTTACTGCTCCTGTGAAAAAAAAAAAAAAAAAAAGAATACGAAACCTGGCCAAGTTATAAACTTCTGAAAAAAAAAATAATCTCAGTTTTCATATATTTAGCAGAGCCTTGGCAGGTCATTCTTCTGAAAGGTTTGTCTGCACCAAACCCGCTCCACCAGCTGCTGTTTCTAGATGCCTCCCAGGCCAGCCACGCTCAAGTCCCCTCGCTTGTCCGAGGCCGTTTTCCAGACCCGGGGGCTGAGCACGCCTTGGCGGCCGCCGCTGCCGTTCCTGGAGGCGGTGGGCTGCTGTCGAGGCGGGAGCCAGGCGGGCTCCGTCCCATCCTGCCCGTGCCCTGAGCGGGGACCGGGCACAGCCCGCTGCTGGGGAATGGAGCCAGCCGTCGTGGGATGGGACCTGGAGGTATCGGAGGGAAGGTGGGGACGTGCTGGGCAGGGAGCATTTTGCAGGAGGGCCAAGTGATGGGAGCAGGCTGTGCTGGATCAGCCCGAGACAAGCGTGGCCGGGTGAGGCAGGGAAAAACCGTATTGCTGCAACTCACAACATCATGCTCTGACTCTTACGTGATCGACTCCTACTGAAACACAGCATTTAGCCTGGTGCAAATCCAGGAAGTGCTTGGCCTCATCATTTTTAAGGCCTTGCATTTGTGAACCAGCTTGATTCTGTTAGCTCCCCAGCAAGATACAGTTCTTTTAAAAGAGAAAAGGGTCAGGGGGGGTACAAGAGAAACCCTTGCCCCAGGAGATCAGTGCATTGCAGAGTCTGTGCAGGAGCCCGCCCTGTGTTTCAAGCTGCAGCACGCCGGTGTCGTGAAATTTCCTGTGAATGGAGAGGGGTGTTTTATAGTTTTGACAATGCCAAGATTAAAATTTCAAAACTTGTCTCATTTTTATTTATTATTTCAAGGAAGAACATAGAGCGCTGTGAACAATCTCCCCTTCTTGCTTGCTTCAGACCCTCTTGACCTCTCACGATAAACTTCCCCAGGGTGCCCAGTGATACCAAGCCCACTTTCAAATAAATAATACTGAAATATGTGAAGGGAAGCTGAATGCACAGTAGAAGCTGTGATTTTGTTTAACATGCCACTGTGGGCTTTCCCTGCCTATCAGCAGAAGGTTTCCCATGCTGGAGCAACATGGTCAAGGGCATTTCCTATTTTAAAAAAATTATTCTGAATCCCTTAAGAACTATTTTCTTGAAGAACTCAGACTTAATTAGTTACTTCATCTTCTGTTCCAGCAGTTATTAGTCCCACTTAAAGCTGTAACTGTGGCCAAATGACAAGAATCCTACATGCAAGTTGGGAAATGTTGTCCTTGAATGAGAAAATGAGAGACATCATGAGGACTGAGAACAGCAGTTGGGTCCTTACAGTCCTCTGCAATTTAGGGCAATTAGAGCAGGCTTTCCTTCCCTCCCAGACATCTGCTGTCATTTCTGTTTTCAGGCTTCTGGTTCCTCAGGATCAAGGCTGGCTTCCTTTGCATGGCTAACACTTCCAAGTGCCAGGCAGGACTGTGATCCTTGTACTGAAATGTCTAGGAGAAATAAAACTCCACGCTGGACACAGTTACATGTAAGGCTACTTCCTAATGGTACAGTTTCCCATATGTAAACTAGCTTTGCCCAAATATACTGAAACATAAACCACTGGCACTGCACCCATGCTAGTAAGGTGATGGTACATTGTTTGGCTGTACAGAACAGCATAAACAACTCAATCACAATAGACAAGGCTTTACTGTATATTTGTTCAATGTCTAGAACAATGTGATCTTGATGCTGACTGGAGCTTCCAGGCACAGCTATAATATATATAAAAATATTTTTTCTATCATATATAGAAGAAAATAAAAATTATATATATATGTATATATAAATAATTTGAGGAGAACCAGCAGCTTTATATGTTTGCTTTCCATGAACAATCGACCTGCTGACCTTTCCTAACATAATGCAGTTAAGAAATGTAACGTAAATGCCATGTTTGGTAAGGGAATTCTGCACTGGATGAATCTGACTCCGAGGCTGGTTGTTCTCTCAGGTCACATCCGCAGCGTGCGTCACTGGCACGTGAGATGGGGATATGTTTTCTGATGCTGTGATTTACTCAGAAGCATTTTGTTCATAGAAAATGAAATTAAGTCTGAGGAATAAGTGTTTTGTGATGAATTATTCACCTTGAGAAAGTGGTAACATTTAGCTGCTATATTTTATTGACCTATATAACACCTCTCATGGGTCCCAAAACACGCTGTAGTATTACAAATTAGGGGCCTCTGCAGATGCTCCTAAAATACTGCTAGAAAATGTCAGCTACAAGGATATATCATCATTCATCACCAAAATGAATGTGCCAGCTGAAGGTGTAAAGTAGCAGCTCTTTTAAGAGTAACATGAAAACACCTGCTTAAGGAAGTAGGATGCCATTTCTCTCAGAGCCACCTACTATTTTAGGTGGTCAGATCTAATTTGTTTTATTAGATAGTGGCATTTTACCAGCCATGTTATGAATATATCAGTAATTTGCATCAATGAAGTATGCTCGTGATCTAGTGCTTTTTAAAGAAACACTATAATACCTCCTGAAACATTTTTGAAGGTGGTAGGATGTTTTTTAAAGAAAAGGGAAGCCAGACGCATCACTCATTATCTGATTTTTCAATTGACATTAAACACTTAATTCCATTTTGTTCCTTGAGAAAAAAATCTCCTTTTTGAGCCAGCGCCAACTAAATCAGCATGTTATCTGTCTTCCCTCCTTATGCCAGCTAGCAAGATCTGAGTCACAGTGAGGCAACCAAGTGGCAGTTTGCTAGAGATCTCCTCCAAGGAACAATGATAATTTCTATGTGTACAAGCTTATGCATAATGTGTAGACATGGGCACATCAAATGATTGCAAGCGTGGCTTAGTTTTTAAAAATAACATATTAGTGTCTATTAATCACAGTCTTTGGAAGTTCTTCCATCAGTTTACAGGACCTCTTCTTTTGTGAATGCCAGCAATAATGATTTCACAAGCTGGGCTGTTGAAGACAAATATTAAATGTTGTTTACAACTACACTGGTTGTTGATTAAAAAAAAAAAATAAATCCTCATGGAGTCACAAGAACTCTGTCTGCAATCAATCAGCCTGCTTATCCAGCAAGTAAACTCTGTGATGCCCTGGAAAAGGTCTTTGGACAGAGCTGTAAGCCAGACTGGAAGCTGGGAACTTGAAATTTGTCTCTCTTGAAGCTGGCTGCCTGTCACGGCTGCGGGCAGCGCCCTGCCCTCAGGCTGCACTCGCTACGGCCACCATCACGATCCTATCTGGCTAATCAAAAATTAGATCGTGTCCTAGAGCGTAAATCCATGCCCTGTGTCTCAAAGACCTTCTTGCTCTAATTGCGCTCCCTCTGGGATAGGAGAGATGGCTTTGCCACTTCTGACGTGCTGCAGCCCCTAATGCAATATAATCTAACGAATTAAAATAGAGGCTTGAGTAGAATGATGTCCATTCATACCAACTAGTAACTTGATTCCTCAGTGAAATCCCTTTAAAGAAACTTTCATAATTTTCTTATGTCACGCTGATGTAGGGTTTGGGGAGCTTTGTGTTAGTTCTGTATAATTTAGACAGGATGTATTTAGTGAAGCAACTGCTTCCTTCCATGATTACTGAATCATACTGTATTTGCAGAGGGCTCTGCGAAATTTCAGCCAAAGCACCGAGGCATCTAAGCTGTACAGCACCACAATGAGTAGGGAGGATGCAGGCAATTCTTTTCTACCCAGAAAAGTTGCCCTAAGACTCTAGAGAGTGCTTACCTGTACACAGTATTTTCTCTATGTAGGTCTTCTAAGCCACAAAGAATCTCTGCTGCATAAAACAAAGCTCTTTCCTCCTCAAAGCCTGGATTTCCCATGTTGTAGATATGAAACTTCAGGTCACCTCCATTCATTATGGTCAAAACTAAACACAGTGCATCCTTTGTTTCATAGGCATAAGCTAAATTGACCTAGAAAAACATTTTAGCACAGTTGTCACAGTTCAGTTGGCTGTTAAGAAGAAAGCACTAACTTTTCATTAAAGATTTTATCTAGAAAAGAAAAAAATACATTCACAGAATTTGATATGGGCCTTATTACAATAACAAACATATACTTTAAAAGTACAGAAAAATCAGATTTTAGGATTTTATAGATTAATTTAATGAATCCAGCCTACTCATCATCAGGAACCCTCAAGGTTAATGTTCAGATAGCTTCAACAGATATACTAATTCCAGGCATAGTTTTTCCCTGTAAGAGAAATCTTGATTATCAAAAGAATCTACAACTCCCACTGCACTGTTTTGCTGGAAAAGCTGTCAGAAATCTACCATATTGGTAGGTTCCCAGGAAAGTCCAGATAGCTCAGTCCTGTGGTTGTCAAATGGACCATCACTGAGACATGAAGGTGAACATCACCCCTGCGAGGCGCTGGTGGGTGCCCCAGGAACATTCAGACAATCCAAAAGCTACCCATCTCTTTTAAATATGTGCCATCATCTTTGTTTCTGCCAAAGGCAAGTAAACATCTTGCATCTGATGTATTCACAGTGTTTCCTAAAATAAGTATAAAGAACATGACAGTTGCTGAGATAACAACATTTTTTTCTTTTTTTAAATCTAAAGCAAATTTTTAAAGAGAGACAACAGCTGGCACAACTCAGGAAAGCCCTGCGTCAGGTAGACCAGCTCCCTGTCACTGGCTAGATGCTTCTACTAGCCAATCTCTTTTGATCTATTTGGGTTGAATCTCCTTCAGTCTCCTCCAAGCTCCTCTCTCCCAGGCACTGGGAATTCAGGTAATCATGCTGGATAAAAATAGCTCAGCCTGATGCAGCCCTGATGCAAGTCAAGGCTGTAAAATGCATCGTGTTCCCATGGTAGGAACAGGCACCTTGGTTGGTGCATTTCTCACAGACCAGAGTCTAAAATGACACTCAGCAAAGGTGCATGGAGCAGGACTGAGGTGGAAAGCAAAGGGAGTCAGCTTCTGGCACCTTTCTTGTAGCAGGATTTGGGAGAGACATTGGATTCAACAAGAACAGTGCTCAGCAGGTAAGCAGGGAGCTCAGCGCTAGGGAGTTCAATACTCACTACAAACTGACTATTGACTTTTTCTAAAATCTGCTTTTCATTTAGTGCCATGGATTCGCCTTTCCTCTTTTTTATTCTCTTCTTCTCTAATCTCTTGCAGGCGTACATCTTCCCTGTCGCTCGGACTTGGCAAGCGCAGACCTGCGAATTAAAGAGAACAATTGCTGGGTAAATTGAAGCAAACACTGTGTCTGGGCTGCACTTTACTCCTCACAATCTGATCTGATTTAGTCCTTTTAAGGTTAGAGACGGCAGCATAGCGAATAAGGCATAAGCGGGGGCAGCTGGGGAACCAACTACTGTTTCCAAACCTGCTGTGTAATATTGGTTTAATTATTTCACTTTCCTCCGCCTGCTTCCTATCCCACCTCCTTTTGTCTGTGCAGATTGTAATCTGCTCTCAGCCAAAGCCTGTCCTCGCCTCCTTAGACTCTGCTGCCTGGGCAGCAACCTCCAGCCATCAGTAAAGTACAAATAAGGGTGTGACCCTAATTCCACTGTGAATGCAACAGTCAAAATACAAAATAATTCTCAAAAGTGTTCTTTTGTGATCATGATATCATGGGAGCTTAAGTAAAACTGTCAGCAGTTAATGAAAATCAACCTCTGTCTCATCAAGCTCCTGTAACCTGCAGCACCTGAGAAGTAAGAAACACTCTTAACTGAAACTTTCAGAATTACTCACCTCCCCAAAGCCGCCTTTCCCTAATACCCTGTACTGCCGAAACGTGTTTTTTGTTACTGGTTGCCTGGAAGAAAAAGAAATAAAAAACAAAAAAAGACACACTACATTTAATGCACTCTCTCTGATTTATTTATTTCAGAGCATACTTTTGAAAAGCAAAATAGATAAATATTACATAATCACATTATTTCAAGGTAATCGTATTATATAATATAATATGTAATTATGTAATTACATTACTTCAATACTATGTATGGCTTGAACTTTTCAATTCCAACATATTAAGCTGTAATAAAATACAACACATTAGTGAGTCATCAGTATAATTTCTGCTAGCATCTTAGGACCAAAGAGGGTTCTGAATCTCCATTATATAGCTTTGGCCTTTGTTAAGCAAAGAGAAGGCCTGAAAGCTTGCAACAAGATATTAATTCTCATGACATATAGGAATTTTTTTAAGGGTCGTCCTGAGCTAACACTTTATTGCTTTGCTTGGTCTTCAAGATGAGAAAGAGAGCTCCAAAATTCAATCCACCAGAAAAAAAAACTTCTGGTGTCTTGACCTTAAGCAAAACAGGAAACTGATGTGAAATGAGGAAAGAAACAATCCTGGGAAGCGGAGAGGTGGGTTTAGGTGCCGTTTGCAAGAGGGGAGGGCAGGAAGACGAGCTCCGAGCCCGTCCGGCCCTGCCTGGGGTACCCGATTCCCGGGAGAGCATCATGGGCAAGAAGGGAGAAAAAGCATCTCTTTCAAGGGCCAAACTAAGGGTTAAATAAGTCTGCCTTTCTTTCTGAGGGCAGCGTGCTCCCTAACAACCACTAGACATGATCACTGTACGATCTCACAGGATTTCCACAAAATTCCGCTCTACTAAAATGGCTCCAGTCCTACATCTAACTTACACTTTGTTACCACTGAAGTTTTGTAACGTGACAGAAGAAGAATTCTAGATTCAGAGAGATCTGGTTTTTGTATCCACCGCTCCATCACCAAAGTTTTACAATTATATTAGCAATCGAAATGAATATTCCTACCAACTTTGCTTTCCTCTGGCGGGCAGCCAGCTGGCAGAGGGAGCACAATAACGTGGCTGTTCCTACAACAGTGGTGATCAGTGGTGATGAGGTTGATGACAGTAAGGAATAAATGTTAAAGTGAATAATTTCATTTATGTTTATGATGGTTTTTTAAAAGTGGGGGAAGAAAAATATGCAGGCCAAAACTAGAAGAGGAAAAGATGTTATTTTCAGGCTTCTGTGAAGATACTGCAAATGATATTGGGGTTAAAAGCAAGAATTAGCAGTGATAACTACATGATCAGCAATGTCCCTAGAATAAATGGACTGTATGACTCCTCTGCTGGAGCCAGCAGGCTATCAGAAGGAACTGTTGATCGCTCTGTGCTACTAACATCTCTTTGCTAATCCTAAAAGCAGTTCTCCTAGCTCCTTAAGCTAGGCATATCCCATAGCTTGTCACATTTGTTGGGAGAATGGGAAAAAAAATAATCCTCAAAGCATTTCAGAAAATTCCTTATCCCCAATGTGAAAATAGGAAATAGCCTGGTTAGAGATGAATCATCTGATGGTTTTTTAATTGAAATGGCAGAGTAAATGCCGGATTCAGTAAAGATGGCATGTGGAGCTTGTCTTGGCATGAAATGGCTCTCCCCTCTCCCCACTGCTTCCCTTCTCTCTTGTGCAGCAGCTTTGTAGCTTTCCAGGGAGAGGAACTGGCACAGCTCCTTTGATCTCTGAGGCATCATGCTGATATACACTGCTCGTGGATCTGGCCCTAACTCATCTGCCGTAATTAATTCCATTTGTGGAAACCGGGGATTCTCTCAGCTCAAGGTCACTGTTACCCAGCAGTGTACATCTGCTACAGCCCTCACCAACAAGGAGGAGGCAAAGGTCCCTTTCCTAGCAAATGTCTAGCCAGTAAATATGGTGTGATACTTATATGCCATATTTTTGTCTGTTTACAGTGATTTAATAATAGTGATAACTGGTCCAGACAAAAAGGCACCACATTCAGAGTACATCTAAACAGAAGGACACCTGAAGTTGCTGAATGTACTTTAATCATACCTAATGTGCTTAATGTACCCAATACCATTAAATGGCCAAACACTTGAACTCTAGAAGCCAAAACTGGCTCCCTGGTGTTTTGGGATGGATTTCTGTTTTATTCTTTACTTCCCTAGCAAGCAGCATCTGTTTCAGTCTTGCTTGGGCATGCTGTTTGCAAATGCAAAACCAGAGACTGGATGTGTATCTTACATTTAGCATTATAGATACACAAGGGTAGGTTACAAAAAAGTGTAATGTGTCCTTCAAGCTGTGCCACGAGTAGCTTGTGGTGACAGGGCCTACAGTGAAATCGGACCCAGGTATTTTTTAGATCACAGGAGATTTGGATTCCTACTTTTTTATAGGCTGTAGGTCTTTTCCTATTCACTTCCTGTGCACAAGCATACTGTGCAAAAAAGTGCCGAAGCTGGTTGCTGGAGCATGTCACCCTCAGGAGTGTGATGTCCTTACAGAGAGAAGGGAGTGACCGAGGAGTATTTATGGGTGTAAGCATGCTCATGGAGGAGGAAGGAGCACTATCTCTACCCCAGACACCAATCATGCTCATTGGATGGTCACAGCTGGAGACAGCTCATGGTTAAACTGAGTCTAATGCCAACACAACCATGACTTTTCTATATGGCATCTTCCTGTGGCTAAAGCCATTACTTCTTCTTGAGCCTTTGTCGTGGTTTCAGGACAGCCTTCTAACACTGGAAACTTAAAAACAAATGATAAAATTAGGAAAGCCTTCCTGGAGCTCTCTGGAAGAGCTTCCCTGGAGTACAGCTCAGGGAAACATAATGAGTATTGATGGACCTTCTTGAAGGAGAATGGTGAAAAGAGGGTGAGAATTACTGCACAGAGATGGCAAATATTAGGATGAGGCAATGGTAACACGGAAGAAAGGCCAAACTATCTTTATCTTGAAGGCAAAGGGAACAAATGTACTATCTCAACTGTCAGATTTTGAGCATATTCTACAGACTTTGCATGGAAAGTGAAAATAAACCTTTTGTATTCATTTTTAATTAAGGGAAAAAAAAAAAAAAAAGTGACACTTACCTTTCCAACCACTTCCACTGGAGAAACCGGTCGAAGTACATGCTGTTTAGGTATTCTTGGAATGGTTCCCCACTGAGGTGGTCAAGGACAGATCTATCTCAGATGAAAAGGATATATAAGCATTTTATAATCCTGAACTTAGAGCAAAAGAGAAATAAAACAAGAGGAGAAAATCCAGAGTTCCTGCATGCTAGGATCTTTATTTTGTATTTTATTTTACTTGTGTTTTCAATCTAGGAACAAAGTGATATGTTTGATATATTTCATAACAGGAGACCCTATACAAGCTGAATAGTAATATGTACTGATTATGTTTGCCAAAAATTAACAGGGCATCTTCCACTGTCTTCAGTGGACTTTTATAAAGGCTGTTAGTCACTAGATAGCAAATATTTTTGCTTCTGTTAGTAAATAACACGACACCCTCAGGAACTGAGCTCCTAAACTTTGGGGGATGTTTACATCTGGATTGAAAATTTCTGTCTGAAGCCCATCACAGGTTTTATTTTGAACAAAAAAAAATCAATTTCAAATCCTGCCATACAGAAGAAATAGTAACTGTGATTAAAGTCAGAGGGCTTTTCCTAACAGCTATGTGCTTTGTAGGGTAAAACAGGAAAGTCAGTCTGAACAGTGATGTGGATTTGTTTCTGGATCAAGAAAAGATTTTGGGGCTCACACAGTGGATGTGAAGTCTTTTGATAATCAAAGAGATAAAGCAATAAAAAGGCCAGTCTGCAAATGTGAGAAATAAGTATGTTGCTTGTAACAGGCAAGAAAAGCTGAGCTGAGCTGAGAGATCTGCCTGAGATGAAGGTGGTCACGTTGTTTTACAGGGAGTTGTTGATCTGCTGGCTTTGGTTCTTGCCTTGCTTACGAGGGCTACTGCATCCACCTCTGCTGGCAGCTTTGGCGGGGACAAAACTTGGTTTTGGGTGAAAAATGCCCACAAAAAAATGAGTATTTCTGTCTTGATACATACAGAGATTTTTGTGTCCGTATCTAAGGGTAGACAAACATATTTCCAGATTTTGCTGGAGTAGGAAATCCTCTCTGGAAGACTACTCTGGTTTGGGAGTGGATAACCTATGTCTTACCCTGGGGCAGTTCTAGACCTAAGCAAACAATTCACCATGAATAACATGTCTTCTCAGTTTAGTTCCTCCTTGTTCATGAGGTACCATTCATAAGTTTTTGGAACTTTTCAGCTGTTTGCATTTTTTCTTGGTAATTCTTGCACCATCAATTTGGAACAGGCAGATAATTGCACATATTCAGTATTCAGAAGTCAAATTGTTGTTGTCTTCATTAGCTTTTATTGGACACAGATCATAGTGTTTCCCCTAAGTGGATTCAAGCTTACAAAATAAAATAAAAAGTCTTAATGAGCTTTAACAAATGTCCAAATTCAAAGCCAAAATTATCGGGGAAATTGGAGGGGGGCAGAAGCAGACAGTCAAAATATTAAAGGTCAAAGCAGAAGTTAGGGTTATACATGCATTTATCCCACAGACTGATTTTATCTATGAAGGTGTGTCTAAAACTCATCCCCATTCCTGCTCCTACAGGATAGCAAGCTTCATATTTGTATGTATGCCTCCCTTTTTTGGTCTGACTGTGAACTCTTCCAAAATTAACATTATTCAGTACATTTAGTAAATACCAACAGCAAGTTTTTAAAACTTCCTTTTGACCCCATTTCAGTCCATGTGAAATGATCAGCATATTTATTAACAAGGTCTCAAACCTGGCTCATTTATCTGTTTCAGTTGAGATGAAGGAATGGCTGTTGGTGAATATGAGCCTGAATTAAGTGGTGTCCAACACTAGCCTATTCCATTCAGTTAATTAAAAGCTGCATGTATTTTAAAGAACAATAGCCGCCTTTCAGCAGTTGTTTGCTTTTTAGTTCCCCTCTTTGGCAACAACAAAGTGCATTTTAGAGGCAACTGTCAGCTTTCAAACCGATTTGAGAACTGGAAACAGGCATTAGGGGGGTTTGTGTCGAGCACAGCTCTGCCTTTGTCATTGGGACTGGTACACACAACTGTTGTGAGTTACACGAGCACCCCTACATGACACCAGGCCAATGCAAGGAAACTGGTTATGTTATAAGAGAAGGCCAGAAATAACCCACATCTCCTACCAACGCAAAGAATAACTGAAAACAGAAAAGGTCAATGAAATGAGTCAAAACAATGAATGACAGCGGAGCAAATTTTACAAATCCCCATTACATCACCCAGGGAAAACAAACCGTGCTCAGCCAGAAACCACATGGGCCAACTTGCGATGATCCCTCCTTTTCATATTTTTATTGGTTTATGATCTACTGGCGTGAACACACTCGGGCCAGTGTTTGCAAATGCAGATTGCATACCTGGAGCTTTAGCGCATAATAGTACAAATCGCCTCAACGCTACAAAAACCGATAAGCCTTGTCCCAGACAAAGGATGAAATAACGCACGTTCGTTTGAACACCACAGACAGACAGAAAGCATTAAAAAAGCTCCATTCTCCTGGTGAAGATTTTCTGGAAAAGCCATGCGGAACAAGTTTGCACATTCCTCTGTCTAAATGGACTGTATAGCCACTTAATTTTTATTCACTTTGAAACAGAGATGTTTTCTTTGGATACATTATCATTGTAGCTCTTTTCACACAGCATGAAATCCATGGCTGGTTTACTTGGCTAGAACACTCTGTCAAATACCTGAAACACTAAGTGCCTGTGTGTAGTGTATATAATGGCATGGAAATATTTATTATATTTTGTTCAGATGAAATGACTTCACCGCTTGTCAGCTACGCCTCTAGGATTATGAACATAAACCGAAGATACATGCTTCAGGTTCAAATTGAAATGTCTCTCTTTACCTTACACATTCCTTACAAGCTGCTGACTGCAGCCCTGCAATCTTCGGGTATCGAGTTATACTTACTTTGTACAGTGAGAAAATAGCTCTTTGCAGGGGCTGTTTTCGAGTTTCTCCTCTGTTTGTTGGATAAGATCTTGACTGACTTCGGGAACGCAGGCTGGAGACTGGAGAGAGAAGAGAGAGGCACATTATCTCTGTGATGAGGTGCAGATTCTCCTCTCTCAATGTGTAAAAGACACATTCATTATTTATGCCCTGAGCTGCTTCCATTCAATTCCAGTGGTTGTGTAAAAGCAAAGGAGCTTTACGTCAAAGAGCAGTAAAATAGGATACCGTGGTAACTTGCTCCACATTCCGCTCTATCCTCACATTGCTTTTCTGCCTTCTCCTGTACCTCTACCTCCTTGCCCAGCCTCATGAATATGCAGGACCCACTCCTTGCCAATTCTTTGAACTGCTCCCTTGCATCCCATGAAAAATGTGCTGGCCTGAACTGTGTACAGGCCATTCTCTTAAACAAAAGAGAATTTGCCCAGTGTTTTCACTTCATTGATGATTCATTGTGCTGTCTGAAAAATCCATCTTTTTAATTTTTATTTTTTCATCAGCAAATGAAAACAAGAACAAAATTGGTATTTATTGATTTATATATAAATAATATAAAAAGATGCTCACAAAAGTGTCTGGACACCTTAATTTATCATTAGAAGGACAAAAATAATCCAGCAGTTTTAAAATAATCATTTAAAAACACAACTCTGCCAACCCAGCACATAAACTCTTTTCATCCTCTCCTCCCTTTAGAGAGAATGTACATTCAGCCCCTTCAAAAAGCCCTTACCAAAGAGAGGTCTTTTGCAGTATGCCTTGATGGTTAACCAGTTTAGGACCTTTGGGACTAATTATCTCTAAAGACAGTTTTTAGGCAGTCCACATTCTTACTCAGTGACTGTATACTGTAATTATATAAAAAAGTGTATAAGCATACGTGTGTGCACCTATTTATAGAAATTTCTCCCATTGACATGAAAGCCCCTTCACATAACCAATTGGATTTGGGTATTTTCAACAAATCCAGCTACAGATGGCAAAATCCTCTTTCCTTGCAGAAGCCTTAACACTCAGTAAGGTTCCCCATCCACGGTCACGACCACCAGATGTGCTGAGTGGGTGGGTCACAGAGCATCATCACTCATTCCTGGCCAGATGTTCTCATTAACTCACCCTTAGTTGGGGATATCTTGGCAAGCAATGAAATGCATTGCAGGCAGAGTTCAAAAACACTGGGAATGAGGACAGAGGAAGGGGCAGAGGTGGAGCCAGAGAAAATCTCCAGTATGGTGAAAGCTGAATTAAGTCTTTTATCTTTTCCTTCCCACTGCTGAAATGTGAATATGATCCTGGTTGTGACATGAAAAAGTAAGTTTGTTCCACTTGAATGTTTTTAAATAGGAACATGGTTTACAGAACTGTCTGTGCATGCTGTGTAATGCAGTCTCACTATTCAACCTTGACAGATAATCTGCAGAACATGCTGGATATCTTTGACCTCACTGAAGTATTTCCCCATTTCCTCCATATATTCCTCCATTTCCTCAGCAAAAGATATCTAGCAAACACCCACTTTTAATTGCAAACAGAGTGTATTCCTAATAATTAAGGAGTCTCACAGTTTCTTAAGAGGTAGATAAGCCCCCCACATTATCATCTAAAAGATGAAGAGACTGAGACAAAGCCAGATTTTCTCAGCTTGATTGACAGGAACTGAGAACTGTAGAACAAGTCTCAGTAAATCAGACAACTTACATAAATTCGTAACTGTAGATACCCATGACTAAATCTAAGTCCCAGTTTTAGTTCATGTAAATAAGCAGAGACAAGAGTGAAGCAGTGAAAGAACTAGGAAAAAGCCTCAAAAGTCCTGTTTTCCAGTCCTACAGCTGATGCATTGAAACTACTGGGGAAAAGAAAAAAAATGGAAAAAGAAAAAAAAAAAAGGCTTTTAAAGGAACATTTAGATAGGAACCAAAGCTTAATGATTAGCAGTATTTCATCTGATTTCAACTAGGAGCCATATGAATTAATACCTATACTTTACAGTTTGCATACTCAATGGGGTGTGTACACAAGTTCATTGGCCGCCCACAGCTTGTACGTGGCTGTCTGAGTCCACTGCTCAGAGACCTGGTATTCTTGAACATGTCTCTGATTTATAGGGTACAAAACCACCACTGAACTCCACAGTCTTTGTACGGCTGTGAATCAGGAGTGTCTTGTGATGTGAATGGAGTTGTGCTTATATAAAATTGATACTAAGGCCTCTAATTGAAGTTACTACTAATTAAATCTAGAAGTTGTTCTACATTTATAGGCCAAAATTAAGATCCAAAAGCTAAGTACTAAACCCCATAATTAGTCATTTAGACCAAGTGACCTGATTCTTACTCATGTCAGGCAACTTCATGTCCCATTGGGAATTCATTTCCCAATAGGAGGTAATCTGCCTTGAGTTTGATGTTGAAGATCATGCCCATGATGCATTATTATAGTCATAATTCTATCAAATTTTGTCTGAGAACGAAGTACATTTAAAAAAACATTATAAGCATCAGCTAACTCTTTTTCATAAAGAAGAAACAAAATTCTTAAAGGGAAAGGGGAGAGGACTGAACAAAAGAAACTGTAAGACCATGTGGGAAGTATTTTAAAATGGCATGAACTGTGATTCTTCCCTGCAAGTTTGCGGGAGATAAAGTCACCACTTGGTTTTTTAAAACCACTCATTGCTGACCTTTGAATCTTTGCTTCCTCTGAACAAATCGAGAGCAAGCTAACAATATCAAGGGAGGTATAGACATAAATAGATGCATCCTGTTCATGGACTAAAGCCTTACAATGTAGTGCAATCACTTTACTAGATGACTTCATTTTCTATAACAAAAAAACAATTTTTTTTTCCCACAGGTTGATCATTTCCAAAGGTTTTGTAGGCCCAGCAAAACATTTTGTGTCATTATGCAGCCCTTCATAGTGTTCAGGGCAGAGCAGCTGCACCACGTGTATGGGAGGAGCATACCTAACCCTTTCCAACTCTGCATACGGTTCTAGGGAGTCTTTGTATGATCCTTCCTGACATTTTCCTTGAGACTTCACAGTTCCCACTGCTCCCATTAAATAACCATTTCTGCCACTTTCCTTGCTTGAGTACTATGCACACCTACAGCCTTCAAATGTTCAAAAAAAGCCAGAAACAATTACAGGCCAAAACCCAACCCACCAACCTACTTTTGCTCCCCTGGAGAACAATTAGGTAGCACAGGTTATGAGTTCAAGAAAGCATTTGGATCCCAAGAGTGAAAGCTTCCAAAGGTAACACTTTGGCCACTTACAGAAGAAAAAGTTGCTTCTTCCCTGGAGAGATGCAAAAGATTTCTGCAGCCCTGATGAAATGGTTATTAACACCGTTATCCCACTGCATTATGGGTAATGGCTGTAAAAGCAAATTCGGCTTTTACAGGGGAACAGAGGCACCTTTTCCAACATATTAAATGTCCTGTGGCAGCTAGGAGAGCCATACACACCGTGATTAAAACCATTACATCTGAGCGTGTGACAAAGAATATTCTGCTAACTCTTCAGAAACACCTGCAGAAACCTGTTATGTTTTCTTGTACTCAAAACAAAACACTGGGTAGTTTTAACAAGTACAGTCCTATATTTCCCCTAATGACTATTCTGTTTCCTTAAGGCAAAGAAAGTGATTCTTGATCTCAATTACAATAATGTAAATCAGAAATTATGGCAGTTGAATCAACAGAGTAACACTAGGGTAAAGCTCATGGAACTGAAACCAGATCCATGGCCTAAGACTCTGGCAGCACAAAAAGTGCTTAAATTGATCCAACAACAAAATTTTCTCTCATCATGTTATCTTTTTTGACCAGACAGTTTAATAAAATCCAAAAGTCCAAACTACTTTCACCAGGTTTTAATCAAAATCTTCTGTCATCTCCTGTATCTTCTCATTTATGGCCAGAAACTGAAAAATTTCATATAAATATTTTGCTGGCAAAGCAACATCTCAGGTTTATGATGTCCTCTTGTTTAATTTTAAGAAAAGAACGCAACTAGGAGTTGGATTAGTGATTATCTGAGAAACAAAAAATGGATATTAAGTTACTTCTGAGTACCACTTACACACTGAGAAAAAAGTCTCCAATTCTAAACTTTGTTTTTTCTTACTTAAAAGGTAAAAAAGATCCTCCTGGCTGCTCTTCTATTTCAGTAAATAGCATGAAAACAGATGAGATGTCACACACTTATTTGAGGTTAGTTGTGTCTGTGTTCACAAAAATTCGGACATCGCTGCTCCTTCCAAACTAAGCCACTGGGCCTCCAAGATGCCCTCCGTACTTTGCTGTGAGGTTGATTGAAGTTCCTCCCCCTTCCTCTCCTGTTCACTAGGCTGCAACCACTGATAAACAGCAGGGTGGCTAGGTTTGAAGCTGGATGCTGTATCGCCCATAAATACCAGGTTCTTGATGACAGCTGAGAGCACCACAAGCTGAATAGAACCTGGCCTTTCCCACACCACCACAGCTGCCCTGGCAGCCCGCATGCCAGGAGACCCCTGCCAGGCAGTCCTGCCTGTGCTGCGCCTGGTGCTGACCATGGCCCGGCACGCCTCACCTCACCGAAGTACTGAAAAGAAGGGAAATCTCATTCAGATCAAATGAAAGCTTCCAGGGTGTGTAACTCCCTATTATCTGTTATTTTGAATGTCATATTGCATCACTATGCTTTAAAACGTGAACTCTCCTTTTTTGACAGCTCTGTAAGTTTTGCTACAGGCCACTTCACTCATCCCTTCTGGACATGGTATTTGCTGACCTTCACTGAACAGGACAGTAAACAAATAAGTTTTCTCATAAAATCATCTCTATATGTTTGCCATGGTGCTTACAACATTTCTCTGATGGTGTTTCCCCTGTGACTGTGTGGAGGACACCTGACTTTTTGTCCATCTATCAGCTAAACAAATTCTTTATAAAACAAGCTGAAATGCCAGCAGTACCAAGGAAGGCATTCAGAAGACCTTCTCTGGTAATTTTACTTTTTCATTAAAACATGTTATTTGTTCTAATTTTCCTTAAGACAGAATTTC